CTAAAATATCTAACACATCAAATTAGTCTTCGTTATCTACCTACTAATCACTAAAGACATATATTACTATTTAAATACCTATGTGTCAGTCACTGAAGTTAAAAAAAAGAGATTATTTTCAAACAAAGCAGCTCTTTGTTTTAGTCAAATACTAAATGAGCCAGAGGAAATGTGTTCATTTTTTACACTGAAGTCTCTGAGCAATGTATAGAAATGTGTACAAAACATGCTATATTTCCACTCTAAGAATGTGTGACCCATTATTTTCTAAGGCAAATCTTAGCTCTGGAAGAAAGGAAAGAGAGAAAGACATGAAGTAATTCATTGTATGTGCTTTACCCATGAGTGTTTTCAGCAGTGGAAACAGCTCTCAAGAATCATGCATCTGGGAGGAAGAGGTGCAAGTCATTCATGACTAGGTGAAGGTGAGAGTGGCACTAGGGTTCTTCAGAATGACCTAAGGCATGCAAGACAGATCCTCATTTTGAGATCTTAAAAACATCCTTAAGAAAGCACAGAAAGTATCAACACACGAGTAAGTAGAAATGGGATAGAAGAGATTTCTCTGTTCCAGCAATTTCACAAATGCCTCAACTTTTCTAATTAAGCTCCTTATTAAACTGTTGATAAAGACAGATTCTCCATTTATTTCATCTAGGTCTTAGAGTTCCTTAGAATATAGATACTATTTAACCCAGAGGTTCCTACACTCTCAGGCCAAAAGAAATACCCAACAGTTCCATTTATGAATTATCTAGGGGAAAACAACTTAATAAATACTTATATTCTGTCAACTCAGAAGCAATTTGAAAAAATAATACACTTAAATTGAAAAAAATAATAATTTTATTTTGTTTTTTATGACTGCAGTTAATAACTAAGGGAACGTGTGTGTTTATTGGGCACTGCAAAACCCCGCAGACCTTGAACTCAGATTGTACATCACCAGTCTCATTTACTGCCCAAAATTACTTTCATGGGGTACTTTGTCCCAGCCATCACCAAAAACCCAACTTTTCAAAGATATAATATCATCTAAAGGAAGACAACACAAGCTTTATTATGGTGAAACTGGAAACTCACTCAGGCTAGTAGTTCATGCAGTATCTAATAGATACCACTGAGTTTTCCTAAAAAATGTAAAATATCCCTCAAAACCCTCATGAACCAACTGAGGTAGCCGGGGCACCTCAGCACAGTTTGGAAACCATAGGTTTTACCAATGATCTTGAATCTTCTCATTCTGAAATCCCTTTTTATCTTTCTCACTGCTTGTCTTCAGATGTTCAGAATTAATAGAACTAGAAAATAAAATCTCTTCAAGAGCCATCAGTTCACTTGTATGTGTAGACCCTTGACTACACAACCCTGTTAGACCATCAAAGCTGCTACAACCGTATATTCAAAAACATTACCTCCATTTATCAGAAACTCTCATCCCTCATAGCTATTTTCAGTTTGCAGAGTTTGCTGTATCCCAGTGTTGCCTCCCTTAAAGACATCTTTGGTTTATGCTTCCACCATTTATGTCTTTTTATGTTGGGTCTTTGAATTATAGTCTTTGATTTATTTGACTTTCTTATGTGGTTTTATTTTTCTATTTTAATTATTATCTGCATTAGAAAACTGTTATTTTAAACATATTTAAGAAATTGTATTTTGATATGAAGACATTTCCACCAATTTTAAGGTCTACTGACCTTACTACTTGTGATTTTACCAGTAATTAGTTCAGATCATACTTCCAAGCATTAAGTTCCTTCATGTTCAGTAAACAAAGTGGATACTTTTTTTAAAGAAATAAACAAAAAGTATAACTGTCTAATCACTACATTGTATACCTGAAACTAATATAATATTGTATGTTAACTGTAACTGAAAAATAAAAAAAATATATTAAAAAAAAGAAAAAAAGAATGAGAATAGCATGTGGCAATATATAATGATTTATGTTATATTGCTGGTTACATTATTTGTCTCTCTTGTTATAACTTTAAAAAAGATTTAAACTTCGGTTATTTTGGTTTCAGGGGAATGAGAAAAACTATTTATTGCACATTCCATATACAAAGGAATGTGGGAATGGAATTGGAATCTGTTCATAAATAGAACATTAACCTTTCAATTTTAGAAGTCTTGTAACTCGAAACTTATATCACATTATAATAGCTGGTACCTTTTCACTTACTTTACTTCATGTTGATATTTGTGTAAGTGAAAATAGGTAGATCATCATGTACCTGTTCAAAACTATAAAACCAAATTAATTTTTAGCATGGTCATTTCAATACTCTATGTGTCAATATTGTCTTGATTTCAGCTAGGCTAATTATTTCCATAACTTATAGTAACTATGGGAAGAGATAGAATTTCCATAATGCTATATTTCTCTTTAAGAATCCCGTATATCAAATATATCATGGCTATATCTGTTAGCAGCATTTACTTCAAGAGGTGCTTAAAACCATCTTCAGGATTCATAATAGCTAAAACACAGTAAGCCTAAATGATGGCTATAAAAGTATATTATATTATGGCTCTTAACCCTGAAAGAGCGCTTCTTCATAATTCTAAAAGCTAGTTACTCTGCATAAAAATTTAACAGTTGAATGAAAAAGGTATAAACAAAGTTGAGTTTTATACTTTTATGTTTTCATTTAAAAAAACCATAAAATGTTAAGTAAATCATTTATTAAAAAAATTTTTATTAAAGGATTGGCATCTATTTCTAAAACAAACCCCTGCTGTTTTGTTTTGTTTTGTTTTGTTTTGTTTTGTTTTGTTTTGAGTTTGGGGTGGTTGTAAAATTTGCGTATGGATTCTCCTGGTTACTAATTCTGACTGTTCATCTTTCCCATGGATGTCTGGCACATTCCACTTAAAATGCATGAGATTGCATGTGCTTTTCCTTTGCTGTGGCTTCTGCTATATCATTTTTTTGCTTCCAGATAGCGGTGGGTGTGCTCGCAAACGTGCCGCCATGTCTGTTACATTAACATCTGTGAAGAGAGTTCAAAGTTCTCCAAACCTATTGGCTGCAGGTATAATATCACTAACTCCACAATGTCACACTTGAATGGCTTTGTCTGACCTTTCTCTCTTTCCAGAATTATCTTGTTTGGATGAAGAAAGTGACTGTAAATACCTTGTGAATGGCCCACAGGTTCTTACATTTCTTGTCTCAAGAATAGCTCCTATCCCTCCTGACTGTTTTTGTTCTAAAAATAAAAAAGCCAAAGGAAACCGATATCTTGTAGAAAACATTTTTAAAATCTAATTAAAAACAACAGTGACTTGCCAAAATGTGTTGGGTAACTGCAAGTGTTAATAACTATTTAAGCTTTTGTCTCTTATGAACTAAAGTAACAATATTTAATCAAGATAACTCATAGTTGCTTTTGTTATTGTTGTTGTTTTAAGCTAAAAACTATTAAGGGATGGGACACAGGGGTCAGAGAGAGGGATTTGTAGGAAACTGAATATTTATTAATTCACTTCTTCGCCAAAGGTTGCAAACAGGATGATAATTTGTTTTGAAAGAGATCTTAAACCTTCCTTTAACCCAGTCAGCAAAGATCCTTCTCATACGTATTTTTAAACACCTTGGTGCAATTAAGATTAGCACCACATGTATACCTGGGTGCAACCACAGATATACATGTACTCTAGAAGGTAATTGGGGGCGTGATATTTCAGCAGATACCGAGGTGGGTATCTCTAATAAATGTCTGTGGGGACTTACCTAAGCTGGTGGGCACAGTCTGCTCTGAGAGGGGGCGTGGCTCTGGCAGCTCCACGTGAGCCTGACAACCTCAGGGACTCTGGACCCAGAAACAGACCTGCACCTCTTGCTGACTGATAGGTTTGATTCTTGTTTGGTTAGTTGGAGGGGGGGAGAAGGGAGAGGGGTGGAGGAGGAGGAGAGTGGGGTTTCTTTGTTTTTTATTTCTATTTGTGGGGTTTTGGAGCAGAAGTGGAAAAGGGATGGAGAGTGTTTGAATAATTTGAATTCTCACTCCACACATCAGTATCTTGTACACACATACACGTAGTTGTTGATTAAATGTTCAAAATGTCCTTGGTCCGAAACTATCCCACGTTGTTGAGGAAGAACAAGCTTCCATCTGGAGAAACCCACTCCTGCCCACCACCTCCAATCCACAAATGGATCTCAATGTCCAAGTTTAAATAGCAGGCCAGGTGGTTCCAGAATATATTAAATTTTTTTAAATGCAAGTTTCATTGCAATGTATGTGGTACCATTTCAGTTTAGTTAAAAAATATTTATATACATATATATGCTAGTATGTATTTGTACATGTTTGCTCATGTGTATATGGGCATGAAAAGATGTTAGAAAAGCTACAAATGTGTTTACATGTGATACCTGAGGGAAATGGGCATAAAGGGAAATAAGAAAATAAATAAAATGAAGTCCAGAGCCATCAGGAAAGGGGAATGCCTATACCATGAATACCACTGACATTTCAGCTAAGTAAATTCTAGCCCTTGCTACGCTGAGGTGGCCCGCTGCCTGCAGCACCTGCTAGAGCATGTGGCACCGGTTCAACAATGCCGAGTCATCATTATCTACAAAGGTAACCACTGAAGGAATAAGTGACCGGGTTAGAGATGGTCACTTTGGAGAGTCTACACTAGAATATCAGCAACTTCGTATCACGAAACTTACAAGAAAATATTTAATGCTTCAGAATCAAAACAATAGCAAACATTTAAGTATTTTAGGAATATGAAATAATATTCAGCAATAAGTATGTAGTGGATATGGGCCATTTTAAATTTTATACCATAAGGGAATAAGATTTCTAGAGAATGAAGCCTCTTAGATTTTGGACTTCATTGTTACATTAAAAATAGTCCTCTTTTGTACTAAGATGCATAGGTAGGATCCCTTTCTAAAATTAGTTTTAATTCCATTTTGAAGAAAGAAATCATCCTCGTTGTAGGCCCTTCGCTTTATGGTAGCCTTCAGAAGAACTTATTTGGCACAGTATCTTTTCGTGAATTAAAAGGGGATTAGCAAGTATTTATTGCATTAGATATTGTTAAAAACCACAGAGCCTTTAAGTAAAAGACTAACTACCTCCACAAAAGGTTCCCTCTCTCAGATGAAAAGCTGCTTATATTGATAAGCTGCTGGTCATCAACTATTAGTTGCCTAAGTCAGTCTTTCTCTGTCCCTTTTACAAGAAGTAGAATCCCATTGGATAATTCATAGACACATAGGTGTTTTAAATCTAAGCTAGAACCAAAATGACAAGTACAGAGACACGATAAGCCTTTCGAAGTTCATTTTATTTTACCAGAACCACCTGGCAGTCTCAGGTAACACTGCTAAGGATGAAATGCAGTGGTGACCACTGCCCCAGGAAACAGCACCTGCACGTTTTACACCCTTGGGAAAATTTGTGTCTGTAACTCAACTCTCCTTTAGAAAAACAAGAAGAAGGAGGAGGAGGAGGAAGAGGGTGGAGGAGGAAGGAAGGGAAGAAGGGAGGAAGGGAGGAGAAGAAGAAGAATTTATTGTCTCCCTACCTCTAAGAGAAAATCATTTCCTAGACTCCCAAAGATTTGTCAAAATTAAATGAAGGTAAATGAAGAAAATAGCCCTGACCGGTTTTGCTCAGTGAGTAGAGCGTTGGCCTGTGGACTTAAGGGTCCCAGGTTCAATTCTGGTCAAGGGCATGTACCTCGGTTGCGGGCACATACCCAGTGCGGAGTGTGCAGGAGGCACTGATCGATGTTTCTCTCTCATTGATGTTTCTAACTCTCTATCCCTCTCCCTTCCTCTCTGTAAAAAAAATCAATAAAATATATTTTTTAAAAGAAAATAAATAAAAAGTCTTATCCCAGTACTTAGAAGCACTGTAGGCATTCAGTTAGTTGACTTGAATTTAACTAATGGGTTTAAATTAATTCTTGCAAAGTAATTGAGCCATCTAATGGAAGGAGCTATAAGATTTAAAATCATCATAATTTTCAAGAAAAATATAGTTTATTATGTCTAATATACCACATCAGTTAAAAGGACTTTAAACGTTGGAATCATAAAGTTGGAAAGGACCTCTGAGGGCATGCAGTCCAGCCCCTGACACCAACCCTGCAATGAGCCTGGACAACATCTCTGACAGTGTCCTCACCCCCCTTCCGCTGGGCACAGCGAGTGCTCATGGTACCAGTGAAGAGAGGTCATGGCTCTTCATTCTCCAAGACCCTATTCACATCTGTCCCAGTTACTCATTCTTAAATTTTCAGAGACGCAATGACCATCTACTAAAGAACACTAGAAATTTAGAGCTCTGATCCCTAGAATTCTGGCTCTGTTTTTTCACAATGAATGATCATAAATAATATTGAAGATATTGGACAAAACCATCTTCCCCGTGCATCTGCCAAGTCGTTTACCAGCTCAATCATTTTTTAAAATTTATCTTTATTGTTGAAAGTATTACAGATGTCCCTGTTTTCTCCCATTGACCCCGCTCCCAACCCCTCCCCAGGCCTTCACCTCACTATTGTCCGTGCCCATGGGTTATGCATATAAGTTCTTTGGTTATTCTCTTCCTGCCCCCTTCCCTTCCCTCTAAGATCCATCAGTCTGTTACATGCTCCCATGTCTCTGGGTCTCTTTTGTTCATCAATTTACTTTGTTCATTAGATTCCACATGTGAGTGACATTATGGGATACTTGTCTTTCTCTGAATGGCTTATTTTGCTTAACATAATATAGCTCAATAGTTGTTTTATTTTAACATATATTCTCTGTACTTGACATGGATCCAGGATGCTTTCAAGCTTTCTGTCACCTGCTTCCAACCACACTCCTCCTCCCTTTCCTACCCTTTCCTGGCAGGAATGAAATAAAAGCAGGGCCGAGGTCCACAGTATCCATGTGGGAGCTATGTATCTTTCAGTGCCTCTGAAGAACTATAATAAAATAGAAAATCAGGACTGGGTGCTTTAAATATTATAATTGGATTTATTTTAAATAAACTGCAATGCTGTACACTTGAGTGTCCTTAAGAGACCACCCTCTTAGGTGTGGACTTTAGTCATTAACATAAACTTCATTAAAATATAGGTTCATCCTAAAGTTTTAATCCTTGGCCATTTTTATGCTTTGTCCCTTTCGTACTTCTACACATTCATGTCTCCTACGTTGAGCAGGATTTTTTCAGCAGAGCTCACCCTGATCACTAGCTCCTATTTCCGGTAGCACAGGTACAATTTCATTTGGAAATCCCTGGGCAGTATTGGCGGGGGTGGGGGTGGCGGGAAGAGAGCCCCTGGATTCAGCTTAGAATGACTCTTCTCTGATTCTCACACTTACTTTCTATCCCACTCACCATTCCATAATCTCTAATGTGGTCACCAGTAAGAAAAAGAACTGGCCCTCTACAAACTATCAGTTAGAGGAAGTTTATTTCAAAGTGTCCTTCAAATCTTCTCAATATGCCCTCCTCTTCCTCACCAGGCCTGTACCTCTTGCACCTCCAAGCATCAGGCTCCTATAACCTCCATCCCCAATACATACCCACACACCCTTCTTTATAAAAGCCCAGTTCTATCAAACCAGAGGAAAGTGAAATCCCTATTCTCAAGCACATAATTATAATACAGATGATTATTATTATTATTATTATCCATACTGCTCGTCTTTCCATTGCCATTTCTTCAAGTCCCAAAACTTGTTCCATATCCACAAACAGTGTGTGGTAACCAGGTGGTTATTAAATCTCCCTCCCTGAGTGCCCACAGCAGAATTCTAATTGCTGCTCTGTGTGTTACACCGTTTTCTTTATAGAGACATCATTATCATTTAAGTGATTAAGAAGTTCAATCATTTCTGCTCCCATCAAATCCTAGAGATAGTCTAGTAAGTATTTCATATGTAACTCCTCGAAGTTATTTTCACTGTACAGTCCCCATTTATCACCCTGATTTGGAATTTACTGGAGTTACGATCCATACTAAATTAGCAAATATTCTTTTTAAAAAATGAAGATTTGTTAGTCTTCTCTTCCACATTTGAGCTGGAGTCATTCTAACATACTCTGTGCTGGCTCATTTATTTCTCTTCCTTTGATTTGGAAAGAATCTACATCAAATATTTTATCTCAATTCAAACTCTCGCATTTCTCAACAAATTTTTATCATTCCTAATTCATGTGTTTAGATTTCAAAATAGCCATTTCCTAAGCATTAAAAAGAAAACAAAGAGTCCTTTTTACACGTAACATTCATGTTCTACTAGGCATTGAAATAACAGCAATTTAATAATGGTCTCGGGGGACATATAGAAGGGATCCAGGACCAGGACAGAGGTGAAGCTGGATGACCCCTAAAGTCCTTCTCGAAGTTAAGGCTTATGGTTCCAGGTGACGTTGGCTGAGTGATATAATAGAACCAAGCAACACAAATCAGTTACCTCCAATGTCCATAAGTTATAGAAGATTCTTGAATGTGTGAGTCCAGTAGAACTAATAGTACATGTCATTGAGCCACTTCCCTCCTGCATTATCAAAGCAATTCCTTAGCACTGAAATTTGTTTCCCACAGCTTACTGCAACACAATGAACTATACTGTAACAGCTCTTTTATATTTGAATAGAATGTGACTTTAAGTGGCAATAGGAAGAAAATTCAAAGTCTAGAGAATGATTCAAAGTATCACATAATATGGTAGACACATTTACACTTTCTCCAAATTATAAAAAAAAAAAAGCAAACCACAAAAATATTTATTGCTGTCTCATACAGGAGTTGAATATGGAAATACCAGGGCATCAGAAGCTAAGGATCCGGAGGTTTGATTTAATGCTGGAGAAACACTTATTGTGTACAAGCCAGATACCCTTTGATGCTTTAATTTGATATTTAGAAATTCATACATTCTGCGTGGGCAATAATAAGATAAAATTACTGGTTGCCATAACACAGGGGAGGGGGGAATCAGTGCTTTATATATGTGTTAATTATAAATTATGGTTACATAATGAATAATATTCTAATTGAAGTAAAAAATTAATGTACAAACTTCTCATTGGTATATTTTATGTACCCAGAATTTTATAACTGAGATATTGTTCCCCCCACAAATGCATGTAGTTCTTTGACAAATGATCTTACTAAATTGTTCCTTTCCTTTACCCTCATAGTAATTTGAACATTTCTTTTCCTTTTAGGGCGTGATTCTCAGTCACCAGACTCAGGTACCAAAAAGCTCTTCTGAATAAGCATTCCATTTGCTTTTTTTTTTTTGCTATTTAAATGTGGGGGTTTTCAATGGACATAAGACACTGGGGAATAGGGGAGGCTAGGGGACTGTCTAGGGCGGGGGAAAAAATGGACACATATGTAATACCCTTTGTAATAAAAAATAAAATAAAATAAATAAAAATAAAAAATAAAAATATTCTTGTAAAAAAAGAAAATAAATAAATGTGGGGGTTTTAATTATTTTAGGGGGGAGAAGGAGAGGGAGAGGGAGAGAGAGAGAAAGAGAGAGAGAGAGAGAGAGAGAGAGAGAGAGAGAGAGAAATATCATTGATTGGCTGCCTCCTGCACACCCCCTCCTGGAGATTGAGCTCACAACCCAGGCCTGTGCCTTGACCTGGAATTCGAACCCGTGACCTCTTGGTGCACTGGAGGACCCTCAACCAACTAAGCCACACCGGCTAGGGCATTATGAGTTGTGTGGTTTTTTTTTTAACATATTCATAACCACATTGTGAGCCTCACAGTAAAGTTAACTTGCATGTACAGTTATGCATATTGAATTAAATTAAATTTCTGAAGAAAATTTCACATTTATTTTTATTTCAAAAAATGTTAAAAGTGAATGTAGATATGTCTGTATCCAATTTGTGTTCCCTTAATAAAAGCTTGGAGATCTTACAATGACCAAAGTCAAGACACACTGAATGGAGACGCTACATATTCCTCTCTTGCAGCAAAAGGCTTTAGAAGCGTTCGACCAAACCTGCAAGAAAAAAGGTCGCCCACTCAGGTACTCATGCATACTCTTGTCTATTGTGTTATTTTAAAGCGAGGCTGTTGGCCCTCTACTTTAGCATCACTTTTCTAGTAGCAGGTGCATATTTTGATTCATGTTTTATTTTTAACGTGTTTTTGCTTTCGTATTTGTACTACTGGTCAGACTTGTATAGACAATATGGAAAACAAGTCTTAAGTTCAAAACAGGTTCTTTTTTTCATTCAGCTGATATAAGCAGATCAGTTTCTAACATAATGTTTAGGTTATTTCCTGAATTATAAAACTTTATCAGCTGATGACTTAGACTTCAAAGTTCTGAGTTCAGCAATCATTATCCACTTATAAATGTGAGTTGTGCAACTGTTAATTATATAAAAGAAAATTGTGCTGTAGCATAAAAAGAGTTATCAAAACAATGTAACTAAATTGTGCGTGTGTGTGTGTGTGTGTGTGTGTGTGTGCGCGCGTGCGTGCGCTTCAAACCCTAAAAGTATGCAAGAGAACACATGTTCACTTTTAAGGTAATTTCCCAGGATGTCGATAGAGACAAACTTTATAATGTATTCTGTGTAAAGACTATTTTCCCCTCAAAGGCAGCTTTTGATAATAAAATAAAACACATTCTTAATGGAATAAAATTGATCAATCTAGCCAACAAAATGTATAACATAGGAAGAAGGTATGACATTGCTGTAGCCTCTTTAAGGATGGAGTTAACACTGGTTTCTTTCATGACTAACTTTGACTTTCTCTCTGTTTTTCTTTCAACATTATTTCTTCCTCCGGATCTTTTTGGCAATCCAGGCACCCCTTCCACCACTCAGAACAGAAAGCTTTTGTAGCCCCTTGACAACCAGTCACACAAAGGGTGACATTTTAGACCAACTAGTAACTAACACACACGTTCCTTCCAGTCCAGAGTACTTGACTAATAAAAAACTTCTTCAGGGAGCTATGCATTCTGATGAAGGCGACCCCAGCCAGACCATTGTGTATTCCGAAGAATCTAACACCACTGTGTCGTACACACAGAAAATCACTAACCTGCTACCAGCAGCTTCCAGCACAGGTTCCCCACCCAGTGCTGACACGAGTAGCACCCCATTTCTACAAGAGGACTACATGCAAGATTCTCAAACACGGAAAATCTCTACACGGAAACTAATCCATAACCAGGATCTAGGAAGTAGCATCCCCTTTAATACCCCACCATTTTCCAAACCTGTTGACCTACCATCATTCCTCAAAAGGCCCTGCTCACCGCCCCCTAACCCAGTGCCTGAGAAACACACAGCATCTCTCTCCATTCAGATAGCTCCCCTGTCAGGACAGGATCCCGAAAGCCACAAACAGCTACCTGAGCTTTCTCCAGAGACTACAAAGATACCTCTTCAGCAAGAGAGACAAAAACCTGCAGTGGCTGCGACCGCTCAGTCCTCAGACTGCCGGGTGATCCATTACACTTTCCAATCTCTTCTGACGGTGTCCTGCAGAGACCCTAACCCCTTCGCGCTGGGCTTCTTGCCTAACCTACTGCTTTGGTAGTGTCCAATCAGGAAGGGAAAGGAGAAAGAAACCATCCTCCCATGTATAACCCTATGAAATCCATCAATACATTTCTAGGTTTCTTTTTTTAAGAAAGGAAGGGAGAAGGAAAGAGAGGAAGAAACATCAATGATGAGAGAGAATCGTTGATAGGCTGCCTTCTGCACACCCCACACTGAGGATCGAGCCCACAACCCAGGCATATGTCCTTGACCAGGAATTGAACCCAGGACCCTTCCTTCAGTCCACAGGTCAACACTGTAGCCCCTGAGCCAAACCAGCTAGGGTGATTTCATTTAATTTGAAAAATATGTAATTATTCAGATATTTTATCCAGAAAGCATGTTCTAAAAGTTTCTTCCTACTGATTAGAAATCGTCTATTGTCATTTATCATTTAAGACTCTGCAAACCACTTCGGTGCTCCAAGTACTTTATATATATATTTTTTTTATTGATTTCAGAGAGGAAGGTAGAAAGAGAGAAAGGTAGAAACATCAATGATGAGAGAGAATCATTGATTGGCTGCTTCCTGCACGCCCCCCACTGGGGATCGGCCCGCAACCTAGGCATGTGCTTTTGGCTGGAATCAAACCTGGGACCCTTCAGTCCACAGGCCAACACTCTATCCACTGAGCCACACCAGCTAGGGCACTCTAAGTACTTTTAAGTGTTTCGTGCCAGATCTTTTAGCACCAAAATTGTCTTGATTCACGTGCACCAAAATAAATCTCTTAACTATTTACTCCCCTGATTCAGATGCCACACTCCCTCAATGTGTCCAAATCTGTGTGACCATGTTAGGTCACTTGTCACCCAGGTCTTGGGTAGAAACTCTAAGGCTATTAAGACTTATGTAAAAATAGTTTTTATTATGAGGTTATAGGGCAGCCTTGAATCATGAAAGGAGGTGGTACAGCCAGGCCTTCGGGGAACTGGAGAACAGTAGCTACTCTCTCTCCACCTGACATGCCCCATAGTTGCCGTTGTCTCTCCTGTTTCTGAGTTGACCTCATTCTCATCTCTCAGCCTCTGCTCTCTCATTACTTCAAGTTGCTTGTGAATGTCCATGACATTCTCTGTGTCAACTTGCATCTGCGGTTCTGCAGCACAAAACTCCCCGACTGGGGCATTCAGTGCATATAATTCAAATCCCCAAGGAGAGGCAGTGCCTCCCGGGCCCAGGTTAGTTCTGTTATTCCCCCTCCCGACCAATAGCTGTGGCCGGTGAAATGGAGCCACCTAAGTATACAAGTGGCTGCCGGATGTCTCCTCCTTGTCCCCAGAGAAGGGCTGTTAGAGAAGACGTCCTTTATTACAGAAGGAGATGGGGTAGGAAGGAAAGATTTTCTTTCACAAAAAATGCTTAAATCATTTATTTTTAAATTACCATGGAAACTTTAAGTCTTAATAATGATATAGGTAATGCTATCATTATAAGTACCCATCACAAAGCGCCAGCAATTTTTATTATTTCACTTGTTTCCAACTGTCAACTCCAATTATTCTGGTAGTAAAGTCAGAATAAGATCCTTAAGTTTGTAAAAATGTTAGTACCTATATCTAACAGGTGAAGAGAAAAATGAGGCAAATACCATTATGACACCTAATACAATACAAATAATTCCTTAGTATAAGGATTGATATTTATATCACTCCTCCCTAGGTATTTCCTTTTTAAAAAATTTATTTGTATTGATTTCAAAGAGGAAGGGAGGGAGAGATAGAAACTTCTTATGAGAGAGAAGCATTGATCGCCTTCCACCTGTACACCCCACACTAGGGATCAAGCCTAAAACCTGTTCTGACTGGGAATCGAACCATGACCTCCTGGTTCATTGGTTGACACTTAACCACTGAGCCACCACAGCTGGGCTAGGTATTTTCTTAAGTACATTACTGTCAACTGTACTGAAAAGGAGAACAAAACCCATCAATTCCCTTTGCTGGGTATTTAACATATTCTGTATGTTCCTTGAGAAGTGAGGCCTACAAGCTAAGCCATTACAGAGGTTAGAAGAGGGGTGTTAAGACTACAGAGCACAGTGCCATGTTAAGCCAACTGGAACCAGAGACAGAAAGAAAAACATGTCCCCATAATTAATTTTTTTAGGTATTGTTAATTTTTTCTAGAACATTCCAATAGTTTAAAAAATATTGAAAAGTAGAAAAGTAAGTGCATTAAAACTGAACATTATTTTAAGTTTAAACATTTTATTTATACCAAAATTGAATTTATTATCATTTTAGTTCATTTTAAATTAGTTTAAAAATATGTGACATCATCACTGGTCATGGTGAAATTATCAAACATGGATATTCTCTCAATTGAAAATACGATCAGGAAAATACAGATTTTGAAAATATTATTGTATTATAATATTACCAGAGGCCTGGTGCATGCATTCGTGCACCGGTGGGGTCCGGTGGCTTGGCCTGCACCCTCTCGCAATCTGGGACCCCTTGGGGGATGTCGGAGAGCCAGTTTTAGCCCAATCCCCGCAGGTCCGGCCAAGGGACCCCACCAGTGCATGAATCTGTGCACCAGGCCTCTAGCATGCATATAAGATCTTTGGTTGATCTCTTCCTGCCCTTTCCCTTCCCCCCCTTGTCTCTGAGATTCATCAGTCTGTTCCATGTTTCCATGCCTATGGTTTCTGCTCCTACATTGAGTGTCTGCCTGCTGGTGGTCAGTGCACATTATAGCTACTGGATAGTCAACCAGTCTGCCAGTTGGCTGGTCGCTTAGGCTTAGATAGATAGATAGATAGATAGATAGATAGATAGATAGATAGATTGCTTTCATTAAAAATCCAGGATACAGACTTCTCTTTCCTTTTCTTCAGTCTTTAATATGGCTAGATATGGCACTGGTCATTATTTAAATTTTGTTCAGTATGACTTTTTTTGGGCACTGATTTTTATTTTGTTCTGAGTGCATTTTTCTAAGATTGCATTCTTCCCTTTTCCAGTGAGTTTTTGTTATTCCATTCAATTTTGCACCCAGGGTAAGTGCCTCACTCATCTCACCTTCTGCCTTTATATCTCTGGCTCAACGAAGTGATGGCCTGGGGGCTTATGACTACACATCTAGCTTGTTTGGTTGCCACTGAATTAATTTTACTTTGGCTTCAGGAGGACCGTGCCCTCTCCATTACACCACAGTTCCTATCCCCTCTGTCCAACATTGGGCCTGCACATTCTGAATCCATCCTAGGCCCAAAGCAGGCATCTGAGTTTGCAATGCCGACGTCCAACCCAACATGCTTTTTCCACTGATGAAGCTCACGCTTCCTGAGTTCTCTGACTCCCTAATTCTTCAAGGGGTTCAGCCTAATCTTAGTGATCCCTTTTATCCACAGGTTCTCCTTAGCATTCTGGATTGAATTCCGTTGGACAAAGAGGCTCAATGTGGTCTTGAATACTAGGTGCTCTCTCTTAGAGCATTCGTATATTGAGGCTTAAGCACTGCCCTTCCCTTGTTGAGACCCGACAGCAGCAAACTGGTGTTTCTAGCTCTGACCTCCCTTCCAGCGCAACAGTAAAAAGAAACTTAAACCCACAACAAGTTGGTGACCTTTGGCTTATGTTCAAATACCTCAACTTTAAATGGTCTTGAAAATATGGAGACACAAACAATTATGAGATTTTCTGCAGTCATCTATCTGCTGACAATTCAGTAGGAAAAATAAAACACACACACACACACGCCTCTCAAAAAAAAAAAAGCCTGTTTTTATTTGAATTTGTTTTTCCTACTTCAAGGTAGTCCAGGTTGAGAAAATACTTCCTTCTTCCCCTTTTCACACATTCCACTTTTTCCCTACTCACCTCACATCCTCCTCCAGGAAATATGGATATTGTGATTCTCTCTCCTCCTGTGTCTAAGAGGGTATTTCTCTCCTATAAGAGGGTATCTCTTTAATGTAGACATGAGGGTTATGTGAAAGAGCCCCAACTAATCTAAGAGGTAATTTACACCTGTATCTCAAAATATTTCAGAGCGTTTGTGTGGGTGACCAATAGACTGTTGAACTTCTGAGTTTTATTTATAGAAATTTAAGTGTGGTATGATTCACCTGGAGGCATTTCATCTGTTACACACACACACACACACACACACACACACTTAAAATTGTGAGCATATCAGAAGGTAGAGAGAAAAATTCAAAAAGTGTAATAGTTCGGTTTTTTGTAGCGAGTCTCTTTGGAAAAACAAAGAAATGGTTAAAGACCATTCCTGAACACAGTACTATACCAACTGATCATATTACCCATAACAATGAGGGTTTTAAATAGAATGTGCTTTAGCCTTCTACATGTTTATACTCCAAAGGATGCGGGCCAGCCAATCCCATAAGATTTATAGTCATTAGATTTTTCCTTTTAATTGTATTAATATTCTGTAGTACTTTTGGTTATCTACCTTACCACTGGCACCACACCAAACAACAACAATAAAACCCTCTATTCTGAAGGTGTGTGTGTGGGGGGTGGGGGGTGGGGAAGAATGTCTCTATACCTTCAGAGTTTCATTCACTCATGTTAAGGTTGATGCTTATCATCATACTAGGGCCCAGTACATGAAGTTGTGCACCTTGAAAGAAATTGTGGGCCGCAAGCCTGCTGTGGGCACAGGGGCAGGTCTCTGCCCATCCTCTGCGACCCCTGTCCAGCCCCTTCCACCGCGGCCTCTGGTCCCCTGTCTGCCAGCAGCCCCACTCCCGCTGCCGCTGCTCCCACACACTGACAGCGCCAGCCCCGCTCGCACCCGCTGACAGTGCAGAGTGATTGGGACTGGCACCAGCAGCAGGTACAAGGAGTGGCTGCTGCCCCAATCGCCCCTCAGGAGCAGAGGGAGGTGGAGAAGCCCTTAGGGGCTATTGGGACCAATGCTGGGCACTGGCAGCAGGTACGAGCACTGGGCAGGACTGCAGTGTGCAGGAGCAAAGAATTTTCAGTAACCACCAGAGGCTTGCCCCGATGACACTGACCAGCACCCCGCCTTGGTCTGGTACACCACTACCTGCTCCACCGTGGGCACAGGGGCAGGTCTCTGCCCATCCTCTGCGACCCCTGTCCAGCCCCTTCCACCGCGGCCTCTGGTCCCCTGTCTGCCAGCAGCCCCACTCCCGCTGCCGCTGCTCCCACACACTGACAGCGCCAGCCCCGCTCGCACCCGCTGACAGTGCAGAGTGATTGGGACTGGCACCAGCAGCAGGTACAAGGAGTGGCTGCTGCCCCAATCGCCCCTCAGGAGCAGAGGGAGGTGGAGAAGCCCTTAGGGGCTATTGGGACCAATGCTGGGCACTGGCAGCAGGTACGAGCACTGGGCAGGACTGCAGTGTGCAGGAGCAAAGAATTTACAGTAACCACCAGAGGCTTGCCCCGATGACACTGACCAGCACCTCGCCTTGGTCTGGTACACCACTACCTGCTCCACCATCCCACCATGTTCCGCACACACCCCCTGATGGTCAGTGCACGTCATAGTGACCAATTGTTCGGTTGTTCCGCTGTTCAGTCTATTTGTAATCCTATATAATCCTTTGATTGTATAGGATTACACATGTGTGGCCAGACACCCTCACAGTTAGAATAGAGAGCTACAGACCTTTAATGCACCAACCCCTCCCTTCCTTTTACTACAACTCTCCTCCATGTCGAGCCTCCTGGGTCATAGCCTTGGGGGATTTCAACCTTTTCTTTCTCCTTCAGTTTCTTTCTCCTTTACCTATGACTTGGTAGGTAAACCAACAGTAGTTCTTCTAACGAACTAGGCTCTATTCTAACCATCATCAGTGGCTGGCTTTCTTTTTCACGTCATGGTCACACATGGCTATCACTATTTGCATGGTAGGACATTTCAACGTTTAATTCTTTTAGTATTTCCTAGTGAAATCAAGAAAGAGATTCAGTGAGTGGGAAAGTAGACAAAATTCCCTTTCCCTTTAGTTGTTTTTCAGTTTGATAAGTCCTGATGTATATCTTTAATCATAAAATGGTAAACAAACTGATTTATATTTCGGGGACATTTCCCAGGAAGGGGCTGGGGGCAGGAGATATGCTACAAAGATTTCTCTAGTGAAGGGAAAAGTAATTCTTTTGATCAAGAGACAACCTGATGGCATTTTACTGTCACAAGTACAAAACCTAAAATGTTTGAAGACAAAAATTCCACTATGCCGACACTCTCAAGCCCCCACCCAGAAAGACCATGCGGTGCCGTATGAAACCTGGTCTTGTCTCCAAGAACCACTTGCTGGGTTCGCTTTCCTCATGTTTTCGTGCTTTTTCTGTCCTGGGTGGTGAGCACCTAATCCTCTGAATGCGTTTCCTTCAAGTGCTTGCAAATAAAGCCCAAGGTTTGCCTTCTCTCCACGTTACAAATAGATGTTTTCTTAATTGGATCATTTATATCTCCTCTTATCATTTCTTCCTGAAACTCAGCTTGGGAACCAGAGCTTAACTGCCAGTGTGCTGGAGGTAAATGCTTCACAGACACACAGACCAGCTGCTCCACAGGTCTCTCCACATTCCCCCTTCCATGCCACCTTTTATCCGAAATACTTTGACCAAAACCAGGCCAGCACCCCTTGCCCTGCCTCCACCTGCTGACTTGGGGCCTTCACACCTACATGGACCCCTGTTGACATGAACGCCTCTCCTTGCCAGTGTGCTGGAGGTAAATGCTTCACAGACACACAGACCAGCTGCTCCACAGGTCTCTCCACATTCCCCCTTCCATGCCACCTTTTATCCGAAATACTTTGACCAAAACCAGGCTTCAGGCCAGCACCCCTTGCCCTGCCTCCACCTGCTGACTTGGGGCCTTCACACCTACACGGACCCCTGTGGACATGAACGCCTCTCCTTGCTCCTGACTACCTTCCCCAGGCAGCACCGAGGGCTCCTACCATAGACTCCTCCCAAGGGAGGGAGTGCTCCCAGCCATCCTACAGGAGCCCCTGATGGCTGACTCTCACACTACAGGTGGCATCTCCTTAGTGGCCCCGCTGCCATGCACGGAACTATGCTTCCTCCCTCTGACCCCGTTATTTTCAAACAGGTCTCCAAAGGCCAGAGGACTGATTGCTTGTCTGCCATCTCATTTTGCTGCGGAGCATTTTATTCCCATAGATGCTGATTATTAGTAAACTGATACTACGTAGTCTACCAGGAAATCCATGACAGTCATCCTCAGAAACCCACTGTGGGCCGAAAAATCAGTTACATTCTCTTCATTCATTTTAGAGTGATTTACGTTCACACTGGCTGCTCTAGCTAATTAGTTGGACAGTGATTGGCCTTAATAAGAAGTCACCTCAGAAATGTAGATAGACATACATATAATATTATGGTGATTGGATTATAGAGAAACTAAAATTTTTCAGAAATGGTAACCCAATATTAGATCATGGTAGATAACGGTTTAACTGGGAGATTCATGTGAGTAGTTTATGTACTTCTTTCTCGCCTGTACAATTACTGACTACATCATACTAATGCCTCTTGCTCCACCTCACTAACACCTTCATCTCCTGAACCCAAACTGTCTTTCAGGACTGAATGATGTAAATGATCCTAACCTACCCTGCAGAAATTAAGCCCTATAATATTTTTGGAATTCTTTTTCCTGAGCTATTCCAGGATAAAATTTTATGAATACAGATATTGTTTCACATATCAATAATTTATCTTCCACTTAGAGCAATACATATTTCCCATGTATATTCTATCATTTCAATGTCTGTGACAAGTAGTCTCTACTAAATGATTTATGAATGGTTAAAGTGCTTAAAATTTTATGACGCAGATTTTCAGTTGCATATAATGTGTAGATAATGACTTCAATTTGAAAGGCATATAATTCTAGGCAAAAAAAAATGGGATTTTTTTTCTAAAAAATTGACTTTATAATGAAGTTTTAAATAAGCACTGTCATAGACAAAATAGGATTTAGAATGACTTTAAGTTTAGTAACATAGTACCATGATAGTTTTAAATAGAAATTTTCCTGGTTTTAACATTAATTATAAAAACAGTTTTAAAGGTATATTTTCAAAGATCAACCAAACTTGATTTGGGCAGGGAGGAAAAATAGTCTCAAATAATTCATCCAAGGTAAATAAGAGCTCGAAGCTTTGGTGTGCTTCCAAAGCCAGTGCCTCGCACTTACTTGCGTGCCCACTGCCCTTCAGGTAGAAGATCCTCAAGACACAGGCACTTAGGATATGAGGGTGATTTCCACAACAACTTAGAAAAGTACGTAGTCAAGAAGCACCTCACTGTAATGAAATGTTTGACGTCAGGGCAGATGTGGCAGTGCTATAGAGTCATGAAATTAGGTTTATTCTAGGTCACTTAAAAACATCTGCTTTAAAGTGAAAAAATCATGGAAATAAGCAACTAATCATGCATCTGTGTGTCAGGCCTGTAGAATTATTTATTTTGTGTTAAACTAAGTAGAAAAAGTTCACCAATTCTGTTTATCTCTGTGCATATGTGTGTTTGGTGTGCTCAGCTGTAAGGCCATCTTAACTCCATGCTCTTACCAATGTTTTGTGTCGTTGGCATGCATTATGTAACCTCCTCAGTGCTCAGTGTGTGTGGACAGAGGGGCATGCTCCGCCTCTGTGAACTCAGCTGATTCAATTCAGTTAGAATATGTACCTGTTGAGTATCTGCTATGCTCTTAGCACCAGGATGCGTGTTATAAAATCTATGTTTAAAAGAAGCACTTATATGACCGTCTCCGATAAGAAGCTTGAAATACCTTTGGGATTAAAATACTCAGGTATAAAGCAATCAAAACAATACATTATCAAGAAACCAAACAGAGGCCCATAAAGTGCTAAATGAGATCGGAGGAGGGAGAAGCCAGCGGTTAGCATGTCTTTTACCAGGTATTTGACTCTCCTAGAATAGATTGATTTATGATGCATAAATCCAAACAATTGTGTTCCTTATATTAATAATCACCTTGCCCTGGAAATATTGATTGGTTAGAGGGTATCCCTGACCAAGTCTGAGAACCAATCCCTTTCATTGGTCAAAGAGCATTCACTTCAAATCGCCATGCAGAGCAGTGTGACGTGCTCTGACAATTTAACTCGACAATAAGAGCAAACTTGCCCTCCAGGCTTACTTTATACTGACTCCTACTGGTACCTTTGGCATCTCTGTTGGCAGAGTGGCATGCCCACCAGTCAGCTGCTTTCTAATCACCCCCAGCGCCCTCTGGCATATAAGAGAGTGATTTCAGAAATAAGGGAAGAGTGAGAAGACACTGAAAATGTGCACCCTGTCCCTCTAGACATCAGTTTTCAGAGTAAATAGAAACTGGACAGCTGATGCCTGTCATCTGAATGAAGTCTTTCATTGTCATCTAAAGGAACGATGCTTTAATGGGATGTCTGCACTTTCCTCAGAGCCAGGTAACAGTGAATGGAAACTCGGGAGGTGCTGTGAGTCCGATGAGCTACTACCAGCGGCCCTTCTCCCCTTCGGCCTACTCCCTGCCAGGCTCCCTCAATTCCAGCATCATCATGCCTCATGGCCGGTCACTCGGTAAGTCGCTGGATCATCATGATTTTCATGACAATTTCAAAATAGCGAGTACAGACCACATGAGGAAAATAATATAAAGCATTGGAGTAACTTTTAGAAAGGAGGCAGACACGTTCATCAGCTCACGATTAAAGACCCTATCCTCGGGAGGCAGTAGGGACCGCGTGAACTCAGCCTCGGAAGAAACAGGCACCCAGCCATTCCAAGGCAGCGACTGCTTCTGTACCTTCCTCTGGGGAAGGCAATTCAATATTTGGGGTGTGTGTGGGGGGGGGGGGTTAGAGAGAAAAAGATGGGCCATTAGGGAGGGGAGAGCTCACATCACCAGGAGAACATTCACAGGGTGCATTTCCATATATGGTAAATACCATCCATGTGGAGGCACCCTGTTCTTCTGTGGGAAAACTGTCATTGTAGAATGTTCTTTTGGTGTCTATAAAGAAGACCTGGTTCAGAGTTAAAGCAGACCGACGGGCACAGGCTGCCTCACACAGTAGTACACACTGAACTACTGCCTCCCAAAGCAGTAAACTACTCAAACTGAGGCCAGAAGACCATCCATCAGGGATGCAAGTCCCTTTAAAGCAGCGATTCTCCACCTGTGGGTCGCGACCCCTTTGGCGGTCGAACGACCCTTTCACAGGGGGCGCCTAAGACCATCCTGCATATCAGATATTTATATTATGATTCATAACAGTAGCAACATTACAGTTATGATGTAGCAACGAAAATAATTTTATGGTTGGGTCACAACATGAGGAACTGTATTTAAAGGGCCAGAAGGTTGAGAACCACTGCTTTAAAGGATGATGCCAGGATTTCATCAAAACATAGCTCTTTGGGGAAATAAAAGTTAGACTAAAGAGAGAGCTTTCCTCTAGATACAAAATGGGGACTTGAACATTTATTTAAAAAAAAAAAAAAAAAACCAACTTTCCAGCATATAATTTCACGGGCTCATGAACTCCTTGAAGCTTGCTGGGGAAGAAACTGCTATATAATGATGGAAACATTTTTATGTGGCAAAATATATTACAACAACTTAGAAAACAAGGTCATACATTTTCCTAGTTTTCAGAAATATAAAAAAATAACCGAGAACATTACATTACCAAAAAATAAAACCAACCCAGACTAACTCAGAGCATCATATGAATTGAAGGTGAAAAAAGGTTTCATGATGTTGAACTAGGCCTCCAGGGCAGCAGGAAGCGGAGAGGAAGGCAGAGGACCACGTGGTCGCAGCACAGCTTTCAGAAAAGTAGGAGGGGCCCATCCTCTGGCCACCAACCAACTACAGGGAGCAAGAAAGGAGAGCAGAGGGCTTTAACTCCCATGTCGTCCCCAATAGCAGCAGCACCCTCGTTTCCCCAACACTGCTGTGTATTGAAAGAACACAATGCCATTAGTTTACCCAAGAACATTCGCCATGTGCACTGTGGACTCAGCTTCTGTGTCAACACAACCTCTGTAGCTCACGTGTAGCCAGGAGACTCGTTAAAGAAAAGTTTAATACTGCTCCTGGAATGATCGGTGACTCTTATAACGATGGCCTTTTAGAGTATAAGAAAGCAGAACGTCCTTGTGCCAGAATGTTGCCCTTAATTAGTCACTGGTGTAGTATTACAATAGGAGCTCATTATATCTAGATTTTTTGCAGAGCTATGTATTATGACGCATCTGCAGTAAAACTCTACAAATGATTCTAGCCGCAATATTTTCCCAAATAATTATTGTCAAAATCTGACTCTTTCACCCCCATTGCTCACCTTAATGAACACAATTTTTTCATTTCACCTCAACAAACAATATATATAAATACTTGAATGTACATAGGGTTCTATATTAGAGAGTGCCATTGAGTAGATTTTACATATAAACTATAAACATGGAAAGAAATTCTCTGTGTAAACATTGAACAAATTCCAGTTGGCCAATGCTGAGTTAGGTCCTGAGGAGAATGTACAAACCTATCCTGCCCTAGAGAAACTTGATGTTTAGTTTAGGACAAAAACAGCAAAAATGAGAGTTAGTGGAGCATATAAGAGCATAATAAAATAAAAGATTGACTTGTATTATTTAAGTTCATAGAATCTCATAAACCATAAATGAAGACAAAGTTAATACAGGCAGAAATTTTACACATATTAGGGTCTCAAAAAGTTTGGTTTTTTTTTTAATAGAAATACTAGATCATGGTTGCTCAGTCAAATCCTTTTTAAAATTAAATGGGAAATCTGAGTCAAATATCACATTGTGTCTTACTTTGGAGCTGCCTGGAAAAGATTACTTTTATCTACTACTACAGTGGTACATAAAGCAGTTTTATTTCAGCGTTAATCATTCTTCATCAGAAATGGATTGAAAATGCTTTTCTGTTGCAAATGAAATAGAAAATAGCCATAATAGTAATAGCAGTTATAAATAATATAATGGATTTTAGTTGATCTCTTCTTATCCTTATAATGATGAGTTAAATTTTTAAGTGAGTATATCATTGCTAACCTAAAACATTAGGACTTTTCTATATCTATATAAAAAAAGACCTTTCTGAGCGACAGATCTGATGACCTGTGACAAAGAATCATTCTTGGTTACCAAAATTTTGAAATTTATTATTTAAAAAAAGGGGTGGGGAGTAAACAACAACAACAACAAAGAACACAGGAAATTGTATTATCAGTTGCCCCAGGTGAATGGTAATAATGTTGATTTTCACAACTATCTCTGAACTAAGAGTAAGTGAACATCTAGTTCACTAAGTCCCCTCCTTTCTTGAGAAAGTATAGCAAAAGTTAATAATTCATGGCATGAAGATAGGGACAGGATAAATCCCATCTTATTTATATGCTTCGGGCGATTTGTATCCTCAAGGGGCCAGAAGTCATGGTTTTTGGTACTTTAAACTAAAAGCAAAGACATTACGGCCATCTTGGCTACTTAAATAAAAGTGAATACTAATAAAGTCGTTTATTTACCCATAAGCCAAGTATATGTTTGGAGAGTTGGAAATAGCGAGCAGTTTCACAAAAAGAATAGTAATGTAAACTCTGAGCTGGGACTCAACTCGCCCCAGCTTCGGCCCCCACAGGATGACTGGAAAAATGAGAAGAGGCAGAGCATGCAAAGGGCTGTGTTACGGTGGCTGCCACAGGCCACAAGGTCTCTCACCAAGGCTGTTCTTCCCCTCACCCTTCTTCATGAAATGGGAGGGTCTTGTTATAGGTGTGCTCAATATGCACCTCCCTGTTAGCAACCAGTGGCTCAAATTTAAGGTCACTGAGTTAAGAGAGATCGGGATGGAAATATAGAGTAGGCCACGTTTGGCACAACTATGCAAGAGGTCCCATTAATTTATGATTCCCCGTGCATCACACGCATTATATGTCGCCACGTTCTCTCCCCAGACTCCACGGAGGCGTATGCCCAGCACGCGCAGTCTCTGGACGGCACGGTGGGCAGCTCCATCCCGCTGTACAGGTCCTCGGAGGAAGAGAAGAGGGTGACCGTCATCAAAGCCCCGCACTACCCCGGGATCGGGCCGGTGGACGAGTCCGGCATCCCCACGGCCATCAGAACGGTAGGCTGGGTTCGGGCGGCTCCGTGCACCCCTTGTCTGATCCGATGAGGACTGCCGGTTCTCAAGCAGCTCAGCTGTGTGTGGCGGAGAGAGGGCTGTCCATGGGAGCTAATCACACAATCTGTTTCTCCATTTTAATGAAAAATCATGAAACTTGTGATTTTGTGAAATGACAAGAGTCTTGTTTTACCTTCTACTGAGGAGTGTTAGGGCAATAGGAGGAAAAGGGAAGGACTGAGAAATGTGACTGCTTTGCTGCGTTGAATTCCCATGTGCATTGCAGACAGCCCAGGCGTTTGTTCCTTGAAAGGGATGTGTGTTAACACCAGGAGGTGAGGAGCTGGGGGCTGAGGGCTGGGAGGTGAGATGATTGGAGTGAAGGGAGTTAATGTCATGGAAAGAAACAACCAGGAAAATACACATTTGAGAGTTTTCCCTCTTCGGCTGTGCCTGCTGGGAGCTCTCGGGGATGCTGAGTGAGTGTCTGGATTTTTTTTAGTCTCTAAAGGCTGCCAGGGCATTGCTCAGTGCGTGGGGCAGCCCCTTCTGGCAAAGCTCCGCAGTAGCAGCGGCTCTGGGAGCCAGGCAGGCAGCCGCTGGCTGAGCCAGTCCACTTGAAGACAAGGTCTGTGCTACCGGCGGGCGGACTTGGGAACCACCAGGATGAGAGCAGCAGCGACTTTGCAGGTGATGTTGGGGGGCGGTTGGAGAGCAGAGCTCAGGCTGCCTACACGTGTCCGCAACACCCACATACCTGGCTGGGATGTTGCCAAGAGCTATTTCCCTGGAATGCAAACCTGGAGGAGAGAGGATGCGAAGACAATAGAGGGTAGAGGAAAGAAGGGGAAAGGGATCAGGAAAATGCAGTGGTCCGATCGAAAATACTGCGGCTGGACGAAAGACCACATGTGGGGGTTTTCTCTCCTTGAATCTGTATTTATTATGTGGGGATTACGTGTTCTGTATACAGAGAGAAAAGTTAAAAATTAACTATTCCAAGCATCTGCACTAGAATTGGAAGCCAAAGCAGTAAGTCTGTACAGCAGTGGCTGTGGGTTTTATACTCGTGAGATTCTGAGAACACTGGATGTGACTAATTATAAAATCCTCAAAATCTGGAACTGGTGATTGTCATGTTTAAGGGACAGAAACGGTTCATGGATCATGATTAACATTCTTAATCTTAGGATGACTACATGTTTCTGGTGACAATGTTTTGTTGTTGGTTTCCCTTTCAAGATTTCTGATTCAGAATGGTTACACTTAAAATGTTTTTCCTAATAGTGTGGAGCTATCGTGTCAGACAGGTATGCTGTCATTGGTTCTGTGTAATTGATCCCTGAGGCACAATATATATATATAAATTCGGAGATCCCTGATTCTATATAGTTATAGATTCTCTCTGAAAATTTTTATCTGAGACTCTGGGTGTGTTTCTAAGCCAACAAATGATGCTAGAAATGAACATGCAAAGCCTGGCCTTCTGTTTTTAACCCTTTAGGCGTAATTTTCTTAAATAGCAAGGCCTTGTTTGTTCGTTTTTAAAAGGAAAAAAAAACTGAGATGATGTGGATGGTGAAAATCAAGTAATGTTAAAATTTGATATTGTTTATATATTGCTGAATCATGAGCACGTCTAGACATGCACACGTTAACACATACACCGTACTCAATGCTAGTTCTCAATCCATAAAGTCAAAGATAAAATATAGTTTCTATGTACAGCTGTGCTCTTATTTGGCCATTTAGAAGTTTACAAAGAAGGTGTAGGTCTATTTCCTATTTCCCAGCCTGCCCCAGCACATCCCCAAGTATAGCCGTGTTTATAAATGCCGAGTCAGGCCATCGCTGAGCCTCTGCAGGCCAAGAATCCAGGGCTGTTTTTCTTTCTCCTCCACGTAGACTGTAATGATTATCAGACTGGGTTGCTTCACATGGACTTTCTGCTGAGCGAATGTATACACCAGAGGCAGTGCCGCCTCCTGTATCGTGTTGTAGTCTCATTCTAGAAACCGGCACAGACCCAGGGAACAGAATTGTGCAAAGTAACGCAGAAACTCTAGAAAGCCAAGAGTCAACAAATGTACCTTTGAGTTACTTGAACGAAGGGAAGTGGCTCCCCCAGCTGCCCTCTCTCATGTGACCCGGGCCCTTTGTGTTAGCCTTTTACCACCATTCTTAGCAACAACAACAGAACCCACCAGGGTTCAGGTCCCATGGGACTGTCTAATTACGGCCAGCTAGTTAAGTGAAATACAAGACTCCTTTCTTTTCCTTCAAATACAGCACCATTTGAGCATTTTCTCTTTTTTTAATCTTTTTTTTTAACCCTCACCTGAGGATATTTTCCCACTGATTTTCAGAGAGAGTGGAAGAGAGAGGGAAAGACAGAGAGAAATATTGATGTGAGAGAAGCACGTCGCTTGGTTGCCTCCTGCACTAGCCCTGACCAGGGCCCAGACCAGGGAAGAGCCTGCAACAGAGGTACATGCCCTTGACCGAAATCAAACCTGGGACCCTTCGGTCTGCAGGCCGACACTCTAGCCACTGAACCAAACCGGCTAGGGCCATTTGAGCATTTTCAAAGTAGAAAGGAGCAAACATCGACTAGACTAACTGCATACTGGTGTGTAGAGAATGTGCATATTTCCCCTTGGAAATCCCTGCATGTTAAATTAGTTAGAGTTCTGATCATCTGTAAACTGTAGGAATGTGAAAATCCAGGTATGCTCAGCTGAGGTGACTGAAAACACTGAATAGTGGATTTCTAGTAGTTAGTGTCCATGCAAAATAATTTTGAAGGACACCTACAAAAGCAAACATCCTCACATTTGAGTAGGCCTCTGTTTACTTAGTCTCAGGATTAGCCATAACAGTCTCCACGATGGCATTTATAAGACAAGGTTGAAATGCTTAGAGGACTTCTTTTAGAACGGGACACAGAGTTTTTGTGTGGCCAGTTTCATATTCCCCTTTGCCAACTGGCTGGGCATGTCTGGCATCTCTGTGCTCACCATATAAAGCTAGCAGATGGCAGAACTGAGCTCCTGCCCGATACATGCCCTCCAGCCAGGCAGGAAAAGTCCTGTCTGTCAGGATCCATTGCCATATACAGGGCTATGACTTACTTAGTAGGCATCCTTGTTGCCATTGGTCGTGTCCAGGTGTGACTGGAAAACATTTCTGCACAAGCTTATGTCTTCTTTTCTGTTGCTGAATACTGTAAAGGAAATGAAGCTTAATGAAAGAGAAATCGATCTTTTATGAAAATAATAAATGTCCCTTAAAGACACTTGGTCAGTTACTTCATTTAAACCAGTAAGTAATAGGTGGACTTCATCACTGCACCCCATCTCACCAGCTACCACCATTTGAACATAAAGTCCATCAACAATCCCCTCAATTTTTCCATTCTGAAAAGAGCATAGAATGAATGAAGAGGTGATTCACCACAAAGTCAAGTGGCCCTTAAAGTTCATCTATACTTGTGGTGATTACAGACTCATATTCCTAGACACCAAAATAAAATTGGATATAGCACAAAACTCAATTTCCAGATGAAAAAACGCAGTTACCACATTTCTGAGAGAAAAATGAGGGTATCAAATTGAAACCAAAGCTGAGTCTAACCCAGCCGTGGGCAAACTATGGCCCGCGGGCCAAATCCGGCCGGTTTGAAATGAATAAAACTAAAAAAAAAAAGACCGTACCCTTTTATGTAATGATGTTTACTTTGAATTTATATTAGTTCACACAAACACTCCATCCATGCTTTTGTTCCAGCCCTCCGGTCCAGTTTAAGAACCCATTGTGACCCTTGATTCTAAAAGTTTGCCCACCCCTGGTCTAACCAATATAAGAATATTTCTGTGGCAGTCCTAATGGAGTATTTTATATCAAGGGAATTGTCTCAGAAAGCCTGGTATATTTAGTCACTGTACACACAATGGTTGAGCCTCTTACCCTAGTAGCTCTGGAAAAAGTTAAGATAAAGATCTTGCCAAGAAAAATCTTTAATTAGGATTATAAAGGTGTCTGTCTACTTTCACAGGTACACAATATGGTCAAGTTCCATGCAACAATCTGGATTCATTCATTATTTTATTCTATAAAGATGTGATGTTCCCTATGGTTTTTTATTGAGCATTGTAGGCATTGTTCTAGATCTTTTTATGTACATTGTCTCATTCAATTCCCATAACAATCCTATGATGTGGATATATTTTTTCATTTTAAAAAGAAGAAAACGAGGCTCTCAAAGGTTACCTAACTTATCCAAATTCATATTGGTAGGAAACAGCAATTAAAGGATCTGAGATAGGAATCTAGGTTGATCTAACATTAATTGTCTTCTCACTTCTATCACATCAAAAGCCTGGGCTGCAGACGGGGGCACTTCTGTGCTCAAGGAATTTGCCATTTAGCAAAGCAAATGTTGTAAATGTTTTATTATCAGGTTAACAACATTTTTGAAACAACATCTCCATTTTTAGACTTGCTCTTAGACTCTGGATTGTGTCCCTACACTTGGTACTTTGGTAACTCAGAGTAGAAAATATTCAATTTTTCTTTCTCTGAGCCTAAGTTGACCAGAATACAGTTCGAGCAAAAAATATTCCATTGTTAATTCTAAAAATAATGTCTGAAATGGAACACTCATTAAAAAGTTTTTTAAGGATAATGATAATTATCTCCAAAAGGAGTGAAGAACACTGTGATAACCTAAGTTGACCAGAATACAGTTGGGAGTCAAAAATATTCTTTTGTTAATTCTAAAAATAATGTCTTACACAAAACACTCACTAAAAAGTTTTTTAAGGATAATGATAATTATCTCCAAAAGGAGTGAAGAACACTGTGATAACCCTATACCTCTTATTCAGTGACTTTTAAATAAATACTAGAGACCCGATGCACGAAAATCATGCAAGAGTAGGCCTTCCTTCACCCGGCTGCCAGCACCGGCTTCACTTGCAGCCCTGGCTTCGGTCTAATTAGCATATTACATTTTTATTATTATAGATGTTTGTGCAAACATTAACTGTCGAGTGCTGGGCAAAACTCTGATGAGGATAAAATAAAACCATAGCACGTATAATGCTCCAATTCAGCCTAAACTGGTTGATTGATTTTTATCAACCAGAGAACATAAATTTGCTAATAAAAAAGATAAAATGTAGAAAGAAAAACATGAAGAAACGACATCGATCTGGAAGCAGCTTTGTAACTGTTGGACATTCTCTTTTATAGACAGTTGACAGACCGAAGGACTGGTACAAGACGATGTTCAAGCAAATTCACATGGTGCACAAGCCAGGTATGCATGTTGCCCTCTGTTCCCATCGGGTCCCTGTGGGTTGAAGGATGTATATGTATCCTCCCCGTTTACACAGTTGGTTCACCCCAAATGTCAAGACCCTAACAAGCTTCCTGGCCTCCCTTGTTTCTTGTGAACATTCCTCCTTATATCACCCCTTCAAATCCCAGACTCTGTGCTCCTGCCTCACCCCTCATCTGCCAAGAAGCCTCTTAGGTGGTGACCTTGAGGAGGCGCCAGCTGCTCTGGTCTCTTCCCTTCGTCCTTCCTTGTCCACAATCTGAACCCCAGTGTGGCCTGTGGTTCACTTAGACAGACTCATTATTCCTCTGTCCACGTGTCTGCTCCCTATCCAGAGAGTGAGCATAGGTAGGTCTCGCTGAGTTGACAGAAATATTTAAAGCACTTTCTAAAGGAAAGTCAGGCCTCAGAAGAGAAGGCTGGGAAGTGAGGCAAAGTTACCGACCTTGGATGGCCGAAGAGCAAATACGTTTCAGACTGTCCCAAAAACAGTATTTGAAAAAATATATATTTTTATGGTATTTTGAGCTAGGCAAAGTCCATTGGTTTTCGAACAAATGTCTGCTGTTTCTGTGAATTTCTGCTGTCTTGCTGTGATGCGGTGACGCAATCTGCATTACCATCATATGTATGTTTCGTTTTCTAGATGATGACACAGACATGTACAATACTCCTTATACATATAACGCAGGTAGGACGGTGTCCCTTGCGTGCAATGAGTATTTTTCGCCTTGCAATGCTTGGAAGAACTTTAGCCTCACGTTTACCGCTGTGGGCGCATGTTTTCAGTCTACACGATGGGGAGGCTGCTTCCCCCCCTTTTTTTCTCCTAGCATGCCTAACAAAAGGATTGATCTCTTCTCTCGGATATGAGAACTAACCCTGTTTTACAGCCTTCGTTCCCGTGTTAGTTGATTCTCAGCTTCAGGAATGTTTAACTCAACTGTGAAGGCCAGCCTGAAAGAACACACTGTAAGGGTACAAAATAAGATAAAGATCTCCTTTTATCAGAGGAGAGAGGGAGCGCCATTGCGTAAGATCTTTCAGATACACTTCACAGCAAACAAGTCAGGCACAGTGTTCTGTGACCTTGCCCATGCTTTTGCTCCAAAATGCACCCATTCATGGAAGGGTTGTTTAAAATCTCACTTTGCCGGCCATTCCTCTGACTCAGAGTTGCCCAGGTCATAGAGAGCCACTTCAATTCCGGGCATTTCTGCTTGTACTTGAGTGTGTTGGTATCTTGTTTAGTGGTTGCAGGCTAAAGTGAGAGGACCCCTAGAAAATGTTTCCTGTCATGACTTCCTCCTAAATGGCACACCAGGGAATCCCACATGGGGCCTCTTGTCCCTGCTCAGGCTCGGGCTCCAGAGCCCTGCCCGTGGTCTGTTCTTCGTTTAGAGCAGGCTCAGTGGATGGGTCTGCCCTCCCCTTACTAGTACACACCAGCAGCCCCACAAGGGGTGCCCTTGCCGGCCTGGCTCAGAGCCACAAAGGTTCCCCACTCCTGGACACCTAAGGGCCAGTGCACAGGCCCTTGAACTCTTAGGGATTTTGCTACTAGTCTCCAAAGAAAAATAGAGAAGTAACAAAACAAAACTCAAACAAGAGAACAGAAAAAGCATAGAGGTGACAAGCCCTTGGTTTTCTGCTCCTGATATTCCACCTTTCACATGAGGCCCACTAGATGTTGCCTCAATTTTTACTCCTGGCCACAGGTACTCCGAACTCACCTCCTGTGCTTAGCTTGTTAAAAAAAATCAAAATTCAACTGAGTGCATTTTAAAGATCTAATTGGCTTTGGTCAATGATTCACGAGTTGGGGAGCCTCCCATCTAGCAGACAGACAGGAGCTCCGAGGAGCTGCACAACATGAAAGACTTGACAGGCAGAAGGGAGCAGGACAAGGAAGGTAGAGCAGGCGAGAAAGCGGATGGTCACTGAGGTCACCTTCCCTTAGGGGAGGGCTGGGGCCTATCAGGCCTATGGCCTAACTAGTGCTGCCCAGGTGACTCCTGCTGGTTTTAGGTTTTATTTCTGAGAGAGGCCTACATGGAATTAAGTTGAGTCTAGTTTGTGACGTGGGATCTTTGCATAAGCAACTCCACTGGGGGCCTGTTGTCCTGTTTTTAACAAGCTCTGAAGCTGAACTCAGACAGTAGAATTGAGGCCAAAAAAAAAGTGTGGAGATCATCTCTTTGTATTTGTCATGGCAATTTGCATGGAACTTCTGGAGAAGAAAAGTGAAAATAGGCTTAGCTCAAAAGACTGAGGTTGCAGGAAATTCAGAATGTTTTGCATCCATTAGTGATTAGTCAATCAGACAATAGTCACATATAACCTTGCAGAGCTCTTTGGAGAGAGTTTTACCATTTAATCAGTAGACAAAGCAACTGCAACTAGGCTCTTCCCTTCTACTAACCCTCCATCCCGCTGTCATGGGTCTTGCTCTTTCTGCCTCGTTTTGGTTTCTATGTCATCTCTGCTACCCTCTTCGCCTACCCTCCAAACCAGCCCTTCAGGGCCCGCTCCGGTGCCTTCGGTTCCATGATATCTTCTCAGACCAATCCACCATCTTCTAAAATCCTTTCATGACTAATGTGTATTTTCCGCATTTGGCCTTTACCATGTTCCCAATTATTTTCCAGCAGAGTTCTATTTGTGTCTCTTTTCCCAGATGTGCTCCAGGCTTACTAAGGGCTTCTGTTTCCTTAAGCCTTACACGGCACATACATAACTTGCTCAGTATTGTGTTTAATTACAATTAACATGTCAATTATCATATATGAATCAGAGCCTTTAAAGTAATAGAAGACATTTGGAAAGAGTTCTGTGAAGCATTTTTAATCTTCCTCTGAAATCTTAACTATGTCATTAGTTTATGTTCTCCAGGAGAAAATTTGCTGAGTACCTGTAAGTTATTCCTAGTACTAGTCTGAATGATTACTAATTCTAAAATGATTGACAGAGATTTACTGTCGCCAATGCTTGTGTACAGAATACAGTAATAACAAATTAATCTCTTCATAAAGATTAATACATTAATTACTAATGATCATCCTGCCCAATGCATGCAGTATGGCTATGCTTATTCATGATAATGTGGGCAAAATCATGGGATATTTTATGGGGCACTAAGAATTTAATGCACTTTTTAAATGTCATTTGCCCCCGTTTTGTTTTGTTCTGTTGTGTTTCACGACAGGCCTGTACAACTCGCCCTACAGTGCTCAGTCCCATCCTGCTGCGAAGACCCAGACCTACAGACCCCTCTCCAAAAGTCACTCGGACAACGGCACGGACACTTTTAAGGATGCCACTCCCCCAGCCCCTCCTCCCCATGTTCCTCCGCCAGTCCCACCACTTCGACCCAGAGATCGGTCTTCAACAGAGAAGTAAGGCATTTCCCCCCAAAGTGGCCTATATTTATTTAGCTTAGTATAAAAATAAGGCCGCATGGCATTCAGTAAACAAATTGGTGGAGATAGTATATGTATAATCTTCAGTCAATACAGGCAGTCCTCGGGTTACATCGGACTCCACGTACATCATTTCATGGTTACGTTGCCACCTCCCATGTATTTATAAAAAAAAAAAAAAGTTCTGCCATTTCGACGTATATACATATGTGCTTTATGGTTTTTATTATTTATTCACCACAAGTAAAGGTCAGGAATTGTTATCTTTCTTTCAATTTTTTTTTTTTTTTTTTACTTTTTCACTTCATTATTGCTGTGTATGTGCTCCATGTGAGTGACATAGGTGCTTATGTAGGTGGGTTCTGACTTACGGCGAAAATCATCTTATGTCGCGCGGTAGGGACAGATCTCTGATGTAACCCAAGGACCTACTGTACGTGTACCTCATTGACCCCCTCTATTGAGATGATAGTGAACACCTTTGCAAGTTTGGTTCATAATATTATAGTGACCTAAGTTAGACCTGGCATAACATGGGCACAAGATCTACTTTTTTATTTTTTTAAATGCATAGAAGAAGACAAATAAAAAGAAATCATTGACGTAGTCTTTTTGGCATAGCACCCCAGAGACTACGCAGCTCATTTTCCGTTTCCTCAGATTTGAAATGTTAGGTCTATTAATTATTTAAAATTCCCCTTTGATACACAAAAATATATCTTTGAAAGCAGGAAAATTATTCATGAATCATAAATAAGTCATTAGTTAATAAGTGTCTACCGGTGACTCATTTCACCAGTTTTTCAAGATGATACGAATTTTCATTTCCCCACAGATATGTTTTGATAAAAACTACCGACACAAAAATAAAAATTTATAAGCAAACTTTTATGGCATCACTTAAGAATTAAGATTATGACTAATAACCCAATTATAAGTGACCTTTATTGAGAGTATGCTATGAGCCCAGCACTAGGCAAAGTACTTTTCCTCTATTATATCATTTAATTCTGAGAACCCAATGAGATAAGGTTTATTTTAAACCCATTTCAGAGAGAAAGACACTGTGATTTAGAAAATTGAAACAATTTGCTCAACTCATACAGCAGAGTTCAAACTCACCTCTGACTGAAATCATGGCTCATGTTATACCAGCAGTTAGTAAATAAGGATATAATAATTATTCAGTATTAATACCGATTATTAAGCATTCACCTACCATACCCATTTCAAACCTATTATATTCAACACTGCATGGTATCATTAAGAGTAACTGATGATTGTATAGGGTATAAGATACCATGAAAATGGAAACACTTCATATGTGAGAAGATTCTCATTTTACCAGTCTTCTCATGATGGATTTTATGTTTAGAAAGGTGATGTCTTAAATTTGATAAATAACTGTCTAGACATAAATGGTATCTCTGCCATAACACAGAACCAAAATTAACTCAGAATTAAATGTATTATTTGTTCTATGTGTTTAGTAAAAATGAATCTCTTATTAAGAAATATGCAAATCTCTTAAAAATTTCAAAAACACCTGTGCTGGATATTATTCCCCAAATTACCAGAACGCTAGCACCTGCCCCTAATTCTCCTGTCCCTTAAGGCATTTCTATTTCCAGCATGCCATGGAGTCAGAATTCCATCCATTCCAGGGGTCAGCATTGCCCCACCTAAAGCCAGGAAATTCCTCTTCCCCTGGAAGCCTTCTTCAGCACTAGCTACCTAAAAAGTTTTATTTTTGAAGTCCCTCTGTGGCTGCCCCTCAAAGGACATTAGTTCAGGAAAAGGCTGGTTCCGGGGTCTCCCAGGGGATGGGATGGATGCCTGACTCTGGCTTTTCAAGGGTAACACGAGGGAGGATCCCGCCCACAGCTGGCTCCTGTGGATGGCAACCCAAGTGGTCCTTTGGTACTTTCCACAAACCATGATGCCCTTTGAACAAGATCCAACACGGCGTGTGCATTACTCCTTGTCACTTTGAGTCAAGGATGCCAGGTCAGAGTGGCGGGAAAACTCGCATCGCGTAATGGAGCCTAAGCACCGCTTAGTCCAAACACCGACGTGCACAGCTGCTGCCATTGCGTCCGCCCTAAAGGCTCACAGCAGCTCCCTGGCCACGTGTCTCCTCATCCTTCGTGTGAGTGTGTGAGCCAGAAGGAGGGTCATACCAATGTATGAAAGAAAAAAAGAAAAAACAGAGGAAAACATAATGCAAAATAAAAGAAATGACTTTCTCTAAGTCATTTATGTAAAACAAAACATAAATGTGGTGTTTGGGACAGATTAGTTTTGATCCTATGAGACTTTTTTAAAACCTACACGAAAATTAACTTTGAAAACAGCGAGTGGATAGACACGACTGCTTTGAGCCTAGGGAATTATTTTCACGTGTAACTTGTTGGTTCTTTCCAGGCATGACTGGGACCCTCCAGACAGAAAGGTGGACACGAGAAGGTTTCGTTCCGAGCCCAGGAGCATTTTTGAGTATGAACCGGGGAAGTCGTCGATCCTGCAGCATGAACGACCAGTAAGCACTTGTCCCGAACACGGTGCCAGTTCTCTAGGCTCCCTGGGCTCTTAAGTAAACCCACATTTCATATCATTTAGCAATTTTTGTCGCAAAGTGGATTAACTTGGCATTATTTAGAAATCACATTTATTCTGAATCATGTTTTGTGCATCTCGTCTCAGAATTGAAGATGCAGTTTCTAATACGTATCGTTCCTACCAATCAAATATAGGATGTAACTATATTTGCATGTAACTATAGCCATGTCTAATCATAGCTCTGAGTTTAATTGGAAAAAAAAAGAACACTCATAAATGCAACACTTACTCACTAGTCTACATCGCTAATGAGGAAAATCGTTCATTAATCTCTTTGATAGAAATGCACCCAGCCAGTATGTCCCTTCGTTTCTACATGGATTTGTTATTATTTCTCGGGCTTCGGGGGACATTTTCCGAATGTCTTTTTATAACAAGTTGGTCTTAATGGATTCTTATTAAATCTCTCTCAGGTTACCGAGCCTCGAGCTACCTGATTGTCCATCTAATGGATCAAGATTAAACTTTGCAGTATTTTACGATTATTTATTTAAATCCTATGCAAACAAAAAGCTATAGGAGGTGGAAAGTAACCATTTGCTTCTCCAAAGTGCAATTAACAAACAGGCTCTTGCTTGGCCCTCCTGGTGTTTAGGTCCCCGTCTTCCTTCTGGCCTGTTTTCCCTCCTTGGTCGGTGCCCTGGGGATCTCTGAACTGTCATTCCTCCGCATCTCTGTCCCAATCTGCTTCAAGGGAAACAGTTGATGTCATTTGCAACTTACTCTCTGCCTTGTCTTGTCTTGTCTTAAAAGAATTTAGGTGTCAGTGAACAGGAGAGAGGTTTCTTTGGTAGCTCCTTTAAGAGTATCCAAGAAACTACATTATCGTATTGAATGCAAGGCCAGCTCTGAAATTTGATTGGAGACCCTGGCCTCACCACACCCACATTGAATGTCCTTGATTTCATTTTTGAAGCCCTGTATTTATGGTTATGTTCTTGAGAAACATATTCCAAGAACCTCATAATCACATAATTCATATGTGATGTTTATCTAAGCCTTTTTTTGTCATTCTACAAATAACTCATATCTTTCAAAGTAACAGAGTTTTAACAGAAAAACTGAAAAAAGGGATCATGCCTGAGTGGCAAACTCCACTGCAAATTTATACCCCACTTACTAGGTTATGTGATTGAATTTTGTCATTTCTAGGATGAGAATTGAGGGAATCATGAGGTCACCATTGCATAAAATTGAAAATAGCAAAATAATGTCTCAGATTTAAGTGTCAATACCAAAACTTTAATGATCATTCTAACAATTTTTGATACTCTCAGGATGATGCGCGTTGTAACTGTATTGAAATGTTTTGATGGCTGTGGCGTCAGGGAAAAGGATATTTCTATTATTGACTCACTGAACAAAATTACTGAGCACCAACTACATGCCAGACATTGTATGAGGTGCTGGGGGCACAATAGTGAACAATAGAGGAACCTTGAGGCTTTCATCTAATGGAGGTGCAGGGTAGACCTGCATTTGTGTGAAATAGACCACCTGCTAGCCGGTTAAAACAGGCACACCTAAGGAATCCTCCCTCTGCCCCCTTAGCAGCTCATTCATGGGCCCTGCCACTGTGACTGAAATGCCCACGTTACTCGTATCTTTGGGCTCAATAACAACAACAGTAACAACAAAAACCATTGCAATAGTTGTAGATCCTTAGTGAGCACTTACTTTGTGCCAGGCCCTGTAATTAGTAACTTATGCCTTATCTCATGTAATGATCCAAACAACCTATGAAGTAGGCGCATGGCAGATGAAGGACTGAAGCACACAGTCAGTAACTCTGTCCGGGTCAGGCTGCTGGAAGGTATTGGGACCCCGAGTGAGCCCAGACTCACGCATGCCTGGCGCACTCCATCCCCACTGCAAGGAGGCACCAGCACCATTAGCTGGGTAGGAAACATATTCAGCTAGTAGTCATTAGCATCTCAACGGATTTGATTATTCGATTCTTTTGCAGTCTAGCATACTTTATTTGCCAACTTCTAATAAATTAGTGCACTTGATTAATTTAACCAGGAACCTGGGCCCTGAGTAGTTAAATTGCAAGACCCAGGTGTTTTTAACTGTCCCTTGGATCAAAAAGATCTGGCCTCCCTGAGTCAGAAAAGAAAAGGGGGCGGGGCTAAGTTCCTGGTGGCGGTGCAGGCACTGGCTGTATGTTGATACCGTTTGCATGGGCGCTGGAGTGTCTTGAGCACACAGGTGTCGAGGACGAGCAGCAGGTTTGCTAGGTGAGGGTGATGTCTTAGCAAATGGGCAACACTGAAGGATTTCCAGAAGTTCTGAATGCACTCGCAGGTCATTTTACTCCAAGGTGGCGTGTGAGCAGAGCGTTTGCTCTTTTAGTATTTAACTTTATGTAAATTATAAATAGCTAGGTAATTCTCCGCTGCCCTTTTCAATTCTGAGATGACTCCATCATCTGCCCGGTTTTCCCAAATGTCATCTTGGATTCCCCTCTCCCCCAGGGATCCCAAAGTCCTACCCCCAAGGAGAACTGTCACTGCCCCTCTGCCTGCTCCTCCACCGCCCATGCCAGGATTGCACAGACAGACACCTGATTCGTTTCCCTAATTCTCCAGTCTTTATAAAATCTCCTGCTCAAAACTCTCTCTGGCTCTCAAGTAACTTTAGAGCAAAATCCAAATTCCTTCTATAATTTCCAAAAAGCCTTATGCATTGGCCCCACTAACCTCTCCAGCCTCATCCCTCTTCCTGCCCTTCCTGCCTCACTCACTCTGTTCCAGCTCTACCAGTTCCTTCCCTACCAGACCTTTGCACAGGCTGTTCCCTCCGCCAGGAACACTCTATCCACCACCTGCTCTTCACATGGAAAAGCCTCATCTCACTTCCCCAGGGCAAAATCCCGGACTCCTCAACTGTAGGTGCAAAGCGCCCCCTGCTGTGAGCCTGGGGCGTTTCCCCCTCACTCACCACACTGAATTGTAATGGTCTCTGGTCTGTGTCCCTCACTAGACTTTAAGCTCCTTGAAGGCAGGGACCATGTCTGGTGCACCAGTTGTATCCCCAGCACTTAGCACAATGCCTGGCACAGAGTAGGTGTTAAGTGAATACTGGTTGAATTAAAAAGTGAATGAATGAATATAGGTTTTGCCCTTGCTGTGAAAGTTGGTGAGACTGAATCCTTGTTCTGTTGCTTATCTGCACAGTCTGCAGATCTGGTGACAAAAAAGCACAGTGTGTTTCCATCAAAACTCACATGAGAGGTTCGATGCACTGCTATTAGTCATTGTGGTCCACTAATTCCACAGATCCCTGGTGCAGGGCATAGTAGGGCAGGACTGTGTAAATGAAAGTCCTTCCCCAGACTCTGGCCTAAAGGAACCCCTTCTTCCTTAGAAATACATAGAATATGCATTTATGTTCAAGTGAATGCAATTTTTTAAAGTGCATAGATATTCATCTGACTGTAAGTTTAGAAATGTTGATCAAATGGGCCAATGTGTGATCTCGAAAAGTACTTTGCAATCACCAGGAATCTAACTTTAACTGCCTTGAACCATAATTTATTCCATAAGACAGTCATACAAATTCTCTACTGGGATTATAGCAATAAAAACTTTACATCCCATCTGGATTGGGTTGTATATAGGTGAGCCCAGGAAAGTAAAATAAATTTAAATACAACATTGATTTAGGACCTCTCTATGCTTGATAAAAATGGAAATAATATGAAGATGTTACCTTTCTATGCCATAACTAACCCAGCACATAACGATAAAAACAGAAGGAATAATCATTAAAAACACTGTGTAGAGTTGAAGTGCAATTAAATCTCTTCTTTATCATTGAAGATTTTCACTCTAAACTTAAACTCTAAAAATTTGGGGGGTTTCATCTGCTGGTTTAAACCACAAATAATTACCCCAAGTCACAACATGTATGGCATTCATTGTGGAACCACAACAAATACAGAACACAGTCGCTAATGCCATTAAAGCTTGAAAATCTAATGAGCATAAAATTTAAAGAACCAAATTCCTACGCTGACACTTCTGGTTTGAACAATATGTAAAAACTGTATGTCTGCCATGAGACTACTGAGAACAGTGGAGTTTCTGAAACCTGAAAAGCAACTAAATGCTTTTAAACTGTGGAAAACATAAAAACTTTACAATTGCTCACTCTTGGTTGCTGTGCAATAAGAACCATGTGTGACTTGTAGGTTTAGATTTTCATAAACACTTCCTTCTGCACTGATTGACTTTGGTTTTAAGCACCAGTTGGCTAGATGTTCTGGAAAAGTCAGAAATAAGTTTAGAAAGATATGTGGCAACAGTTCTGCTCTTGTCTTTTATGAGCAAATAGAGCTACCGCTATGAGTATCTGAGTGTTCATATTCACGTCTAACCACTCAGAGGAACTTTCAAGTTACAAGTGAAAAGTGTTGATTGAGTGAGATTAAGAGTGTGCATGCATGTCTGTTGGCTGACTGTCTGTATGTCTATCGCTACTGTCTTCAGGCCTCTGTGTACCTTAGCAGTGGGTCTAGGTTGCCACCTAACACCGTTAACTGTCACATGACTAATGGGATTCAGTAGATCAGCCACAGCAAAGAGAACATTCCAGTTCTGCCGCTTACAGCTTCTTTAGCCTAAAGGCTCTGCTCAAGCGCGTGCCTCTCACCACATTCCAGCGTGATAGATAATGACCAATTGTCGCTGTTTAGGGCGTCTCCTCTATATTCTATTGGCATGGATTCCAGATAGCTGCCCACTGCGACTATACACTGAATTTTTAATCTATAAAAATATGATTCAGAGAAAATTGCCATTCTAAGGTAGGGTGCAGGACAACATTCTGTTCCCCTTTCCATAGTGTAGAAGAGAAATATGTTTCTGTTAATCAGGGTTTTGTATATCCGTCTTTCTATGTTCCTTAAGGTGGAAGTCAAAGTGAAGTTGTAACCACGAGTAAATACATGTGTTTAGTGAATGTGCTGCCCTCTGCTGTTCAAAATGTGTGTTGTTTTTAAATTTGTTTCCTCTAAGAAAAAGTTATCTCACCTTAGAAAAACAAAGACTGTGCTCGAAAGCTGAGATTGTAAAATCAAGAATTCACCATTTTTTTTAAGTACATAACATTAGAAACAATGAGATTTGAAAAAAGCCAAAGATTCATTTTTCTGTGGAGAAATTATTAGGCCTCTCTCTATAAACAAAACAAAATTTGCTGAAAAATTCTCTCTAATATTGTTTTCCCTAAAGATCAGCTCCAGCGAACTATTCCATGAAGTAGTTACATGCTTCAGTTGTTATTTAAATGCGTGTGTTTTCTTACGGAGCCCCACCAGCCACAGGCCCTGTGACTATTGTACAAACATACGGTCCTATTCTGCTGTATCACTTAGCGGCGCACCCGAACCGTTGCCCAGATTACTACACGGCTTTGACCATGATGATCACTGTACAGGTCGGATAACTCAGACCCTGTCGCTATTTTGCTGTGATATCCCAACTTTTCCATTTCTGTCTGTAGCTACCATGATAACCTCATATTATAAAATATTGAAATAAAAAGCACATCTCTAAAAACCTTTTGGATGTAATAGATTAATAAATACAGGCTATGTATTATTTTAAAACTACTGGGAAAAAAACTATAAACCACTCTGACAAGCTAATTTCAAAATAATGGCTTTTGTTTGAATACGGACTATCTCAAAGCATCCAGTAGGACAAAGAATATGCCCTCCCCTGGTCGGGGGAATGGCTTTCAGGGACCCGAAGGGGTCTTTTTCTGACTTAAAATTTTACTGCCCAATTGCACCATGTTTAATTAGTGCCATGTAATAATTATAGAAGTACTAACCCATATACCTTAAGCACCCATTTTTAATAGAAAATCAAGAGCCCAGAACTGTGTGGTCAGGCATGAGTTGCTTGAAAGCACTAGGATATCACTGGGTAATGTAAATGCTCTGAGGCTGAGTTTGCTCTTATTAAAGTAATTTATGTATTTTTTCCAACAGTTTACATTAACGCTCCTCATTTTTCTCTCTTAAATACAATGACCACTAAGGGGAGCAAGTCAATTATAAATTGTTTTTTTCTCTAAATTACAGTGTCAACCAAACCAGGGTCAACTTTTCTCCCCCACCCTCTGCCCAGCCCTAAACCACCAAGGTGCTGTGGGGAAAAAATAAAAAATAACCCACCCAAATCCACTTCCGTAGCTCAAGGTTGGCAGGAAGAAAGTGATACTTGGGGTATCTAATAAAATGTGATCTTTCTTTCTTTATTTTTAAAAAATATATATGTTCTTATTGATTCAGAGATGAAGGGAGAGGGAGAGAGAGAGAAACATCAATGATGAGAGAGAAACATTGATCGGCTTCCTCCTACATGCCCCCGACTGGGGATGGAGCTCACAACCCGGCATGTGCCCTGACCGAGAATCAAACCGTGACCTCCTGGTTCATGGGTTGACCACTAAGCCACCCCAGCCAGGCAATATGTGCTCTTTCCTCCCACTCTGAGAGGCTCCTTGCCTCCACATCTTTCCCAGTGGTTCAGACCATCCCCAGTTGTTCCGCCTTCTCTTGCCTAAGGAGGGGCCCAAGTCACTGTTGCTGGCGTCCCCTCCATTCCCTCGGCACCTCCACCTACTGAACCAGTTTCTCCTCGCCCTTTCTTGCAGCCCCCTCTGAGAGGGATGGAGAGAAAACATCAATGATGAGAGAGAAACATTGATCGGCTTCCTCCTACATGCCCCCGACTGGGGATGGAGCTCACAACCCGGGCATGTGCCCTGACCGGGAATCAAACCGTGACCTCCTGGTTCATGGGTTGACCACTAAGCCACCCCAGCCAGGCAATATGTGCTCTTTCCTCCCACTCTGAGAGGCTCCTTGCCTCCACATCTTTCCAGTGGTTCAGACCATCCCCAGTTGTTCCGCCTTCTCTTGCCTAAGGCAGGGCCCAAGTCACTGTTGCTGGCGTCCCCTCCATTCCCTCGGCACCTCCACCTACTGAACCAGTTTCTCCTCGCCCTTTCTTGCAGCCCCCTCTCCCAACAACTCCGACACCTGTTCCCCGGGAACCCGGCCGGAAGCCCATTCCTATGTCACCATATGGAGAAGTCACTGGTAGCCCCTCCCCTCCGCCCAGGAGTGGGCTCCCCACACCAAGCCCGAGCACCCCGGCTCTCTCTCCCATCTGGGTGAGCTCCCTCCTGCCTTCACTTTCCTAACGCCTGTCTGGACATGTAGGTGTAGTCCTTGTGCTCCAGGGGCTAGGAGACAGTCAGAGGCCGGCTTCTAACCTCCCCCTCTCCCTCCCCCTCCACCTGGCTGCCCCTCTTCCTCCTCACCCAGCCCCAGTCTTCCTGCCAGTGGACCCCTAACCACCTCCAGCACCTCTCACTCCTCCCCACCTGGATCTCTCCCCACCTCCCCTCCCGCTTCCCCTGCTCCCGCCTCCTGCACCCGAGTGGACTGTCTGCACTGCAGACTGAATGCTGGACCGGCCAGGGCAGATGCGCTGACCCCCCAGAGGAGCGGCCTGGTGACAGCTGAGCCTGGTCTAAAGCTCTGCTGAGCTGTCAACGTGCCTTTTCGCTGTCACCGGGCCTTCTCGCTGTCACCGGCAGTTTCTCACCGTCGATGCCTTGGGCTGAGGAGGGAAAGCAGAGGGTGGACAGAGGAGACTGCCAGGGCTCCAGTGATGCCCTCGAAGCTCATCTCCATTCCTGATTTACTCCACTCCCCTGTCCTCTGTGGCGGAGATGCGTGGGATGAGAGCAGGTGCACGTTGGCGTGTGAATGCGCGCGCGGGTCATGCCACACAGCCTCCTCCTCACCTGCTCAGTGTGCCTTTTCCTTCCCTTTTCCTTCACGTCTGCTCTAGACTGACCGCATACATCCCGATGACGTAGAGTTAGAGAATGAGCCCTGGTATAAGTTCTTTTCAGAGCTGGAGTTTGGACGGCCGGTAAGTGAGGCTAGACTCTTCATGTAAGAACACCAGGGGAATGTGGCCTGACTTACACAACACATTGTCAGAAGCGATAGGCGTCATTCAGAGAACAAATGTTGAGTGTGTCCTTAGAGGCACAAACCTGGTCCCGCTCAGCCCACAGTCACTTCTAGACTAAATGGTGAAACGTGCTCAGACACGTGCTCAGCAGTGTTTCTTTACCACCGAGTCACCCACGAGGCGCACTTGATGTCTGAGCAAATTCAAACTGCTCAGAGACGGTGTCCTAGTGCAGCCAGACAATTACGGGTCTACAGAGGCTGTGTATTTGCTTACAGTCCACTTTGGTCTAGTTCACTCAGAAGAAATACAGTGGCTTGATGATGACAATCCTATCTAATAAAAGAGTAATATGCAAGTTAACCATCACTCCAACACTAAGATGGCGGCGCCCAGTCCTCTCAGCCCCACTGGAGTCCTCCAGTCCTGGGGGGTGGTGGTTGAGAACAGGGCCTGCTTGGCCATCACCGCGGCAACCTGGGAACAGCCAAGCGGGCCCCACAGACGGCGCACAGCAGGGCTTGCTTGGCCGTCACCCACGGTGACCCAGGAGTGGCCAAGTGGGCCCCGCAGACAGCAGAGAACCCCAGGGAGCGGGCCTAAGCTGTCAGTAGGACATCCCCTGAGGGCTCCCAGATTGGAGAGGATGCAGGTCGGGCTGAGGGAATTCTCTGCACCAGGCCTCTAGTATTATTATAGCCCCCATTGCTGAAGAATCACCAAGCACCTGGCGAGGCTGGGTCTGCAGGCATTTTCCCAGGGAGCCCTCACAAGGCCCCTCCAAGAAAAAGAAACCAGAGACCAGAGGGGCTAAGTAACTTGCCCAACATAGTAAGTGGCGGAGTTAGATGTCAAGCCCAGTCCTATCGACCAAACCAACAACAACAAAAACACCTCTGGGCAGTTCCCACTGTAACCTCCTGCCAGAATACCCCCACTATGAAACACCTCTACTCCCAGGGACTTAAGGAAGGGGGAAAATAAGGAATGATTTCCAGTCTTGCTACTGAAAGCCACCACCACACCCCTACTCCTCAAACCCCCACCAAAGGGAACCTTCCAGAAATCAGTCTGTGTGGTACAGAGTCAACAGGCCTCAAAGAGCAATTTCCTTCATCAACTCAAGTTTTACTGGGGAACTCTACCTACCAGCAGCAGTGCATTTGAGGCGTGCCAGGTACATATTGTTGATGCTTTTACTGGTGTTTCTGGATTTTAAACTCTCAAAGAAAACACTGTTTATTACACTGCATAGAATTTCACTAAAGACCAGGGAGTACAGTCTTTCTTTTGCCATATCATAGACTGATTTATACGCTCAGGTGCTAAATCACATTTTCCCCCCTGGGTGGACATAGTAATCCCTTTCGCCCATTAAAATGCAAAGGAGACTGGGTTAGAACTGGACCAAAAGTGACTGTAAATAAATATAAACCAAAGAATTTTCCCTAGACTGTCTATGCCTCATAAGGAAGAATAGTTTCTCGACTTTTTTTTTCTAATTTGTCTCCAAGTAATCACATAAATGTATTTTATTTCAGAGACAACAAATTCTCTAGCTTTATGGTATATGTGTTCTTATCGTTGATCAGACAGTTTATAGGGACTGTCCCAATTTCTGTTCTGAGCCTCGGTTAGCAGCATTTTTCTATCACCTTTTCCAGCCACCCCTGGAAACTCACCAGCACGCTCTCCACATGTCCACTTGCTCCCTTAATGTTCCTTTAATCGACCTTGCATTCCTCTGTGGCCCGAGACTAGGGGTGCTAATTGGACCTGATGAACCGAGTTTATAAATATACTAATCACACCACCAGTAACGCTGCCCAGTGCTTGAGATTAGTGACGAGCATAGTCCCCCTCCTCCCAGGCCACCCCCCTGGTGCTCCATGCGTGTCCCTCTGTGCGTGTATCTGATGCTGTCGTCACTCAATTTCTAACTGTTGTCACCTTTTCCACATGTCCATTCCTTGCTGCCATTGACTGTCCTCCATTCCATCTCTACACTCTGCTTCTGTGGTGTGCACCGACACCCAGCCTCCTAAAAAGGCTCTGGACTATGTTCAAGATCATTCTCCTGGTGTTTCCAATGAGGTAAAAACCAATTACTCGCTTTTTCAGATTCCTCTCTTAGGCACTGTTACTGTGATTCCGAACGTCTGTGTTTTACAGTTCACCACGGTGTGTCAGCTATTTCTGAAAATCTGCCTTCGCCTCATTACCGGTACCCTTCCCAGGACATGAATTACGCCGTATTGGCTCTTTCTGAAATCCAGGCTAAGGTGAACTGCTCAGTGCAGCCCTGGTACCCAGGAGTGGGGTCATAAAACACCACGCGTAGTGGTCTTTGTGCGAACATTGACCACCTGCTTCGATTAGACTAAAATGCCACCAGGAGGATTCTCGGAGCCATTTGAGCATCATGCCTGGAGGTGCAAAATGGCCCGTTAGGTTCTTAGATAATCAGATGGTTAGGTCCCACATATTCCTAAAATGTACTGTAATTGTTTCATTTTCCTAAACATAATTTATGCGTTTCAGCATCAGATAAAATCAAGAATAGGGCTGGCATGCATCAGAGTAAATATTGAATGTAAACTTGAATTGAAAAAAAATTTAAAAGCTAAAAAATAGAAAAGAACAGGGTTGACAAGTAACTGGCACAAGTGTCACAACTTCCGGTTCCACACCGACAGGCATTTCTAATCCTCCTCCACCCTGTCATCCACACAGTACCTAGGTTACCCCTGGATAATGACATGAAATGCATTTGCCATCTCTCTCTGGGAATGTTCATCGCCGTCTGCTGGGGACAATAAAATTATGCCCGGCAATGTAAAAGTTTATTTGAATTGGTCAAAGAGATTATGAAAAAGGCAGAAATAATCCAGAGTCAAAAGCTTTTTATCCTGCTCTCTGCAGGGAAAAATAAAATATCTTGGAAAGCAGATTTAGGACTCGTTAGTAAACACAGCAAAAGTGACAGTCTTTCTAAACAGCAGTTGTATAAACATTTCTCTGAGAACTCTTAGAAGCAGCTAGGACGAAGGGAATAAACTGGTGTTTGAATAGTAGTGTCTCTGTGGTCCTAAGTAAATATAAAAACACTTAATATTTCGTCTTCATTGAAAAGTCTTACCTCAGTTAAATACATGCAACTAGAAAATGAAATAAAGCTAGTGGAATGCCTATGCTGCTGGAAATAGTACTGACGCACAGTGGTAAAAACTGGAATTGCAAGTACAGTCTCAAGGAAATAGCTTACCAGAGCTTCAATTGATTCCCCTGAGCTATGTATCAGAGTGTATGTTAAATAGAAGTTATGCAAATATATAGGTATTCATTCAATCAAGAGTAAAGTAGAGTAATCAGGAACATTCTGGGTTAGTGAATTCAGTCACTTCTAAACACTTATTTTTTTGTAAATAGGCATGTAATGTAAAGAAAATCAAAGAATTTCAATTACATTCTGGGAAGCAAAATAAGTATATTCTTATGCTTCCTTCACATCTGAAGAAAAGGTATCAATTAAGCACAGGAATGACCTAAAATTTTACTTTGGAATTCAATTTGGTCAGCTATTTCTCTCAGATATTTTGGTCAGATATTCCTAAGTTGTTTTTAAGGCAGTTGGCTCACTGAGAACTAAAATAGAATTAGAGATAACCATATCCAACTCCCTAATATTTTGGTCAAGAAAAGTAGCACTCAATGATTTTAGGAAGTCATGTCCAAAATCACATGGTAAGAGAGTGGCACATTAAAAATAAAACAGAACTCATAACCTTCGCTTATAGGCCATTTCCTTCATACCACCCTTCTTAGCACTTCCAGGAGATGGATTTAGGGCTCAAATCTTTTAGAAACAAACTATATACTTAATACTATTTCTTATTTACTCTTGATTTCGGTTAAATTCTTGGGCTAAAAATAGTAGAAACTTAACTCTGTGCATATTATATTGTTATGGGAGTGGCAATAAAAATCACATAAAACAGCTCTTTGCTGATGGTTCAACTGATTTGTCATTACCTCTTTGGGATTGAGAGAGTTGTTGTATGATCCTGAGAGCATATTAGCTATGTTATTAGTTTCACATCATGGTGTTTTTTTTCAGAGTGTAAAAAAAATTTTGATAAGGTACTATATTCTGTAAAAATTGTAAATGATAAGCCATTACCTTCGCTACCATTTATCAAATGCCTAATACATGCCACAAACAACATATCTATAGATAAAACTGAGAAACCGGCATCACTGAACAATAATGAAGTACCTTTAAGCAAGTATAATCACATGAACACTTAACAGAAAGAGTGATTCGGTGACTCTACTTTATTAAAATGCCCTTTGTTTAGGTGTGTTAAAAATAATGGTCACATATAAATACCACATATCATAATAGGTAAAGCAGGTTGCCTCCTTTCTGGAGACAATTTCCATTTCAGGATGAGTACCATTCATACAATCACATACAAGGTTTTCTCTTGCTCATCTACCTAGACTTTGTACTGTTTCCTTTTAATTTAATACTAAGCCTTTTCCTTTGAGTATACATAAAGTCACACAATCCATTTCAGTTTATTTTGGATTGTGGAAAAACCAACACAAGGAGGAATTGTTGTAGTTTCTGAGCCTAAGTCTGAAACAATAGGAAGTGTGGAGCCTTCATTTCCTATAGGATGTTTTAATTCATATGACAATATTATTTAGGCTCATCCCAAGCTGGCAATCCAAAATTTCTGACCACTCTAGGGGTGTTCTAAGAGTTCTCTGAAATGGACACTTTCTGATGATCAACTGTGGTTTGTGGTTGGGTGTCCCAGGAAAGGAGCCACCCACACAGATGCAACGTTCCGAGGCTCTTGGGTGTCGCTCTTCTGAGAGCATAGAGAATTAATATTTCTAAATCGAAGTACATGGTTTTATGTATTTACTTGTTAGTCTTCCTTCTTATTTAGTATTTATTTTTCCACCTTTCCAGTGTCTGATTCAGAGTTGAGTTAAAATAATCTTGTAAACTTATCACATCAGCAGACCAAACTTTTTTTTTCTAAGTTTATATGTATTGAGAACCTAGAAATTTGAATGTTTTTTAGGAACTAAAATTATTACAATATGCTTTTTCTGTCTAACACGGGGTGACTATTCTCTTGCAGAGGATGCTTTTGTTTGTTTCTGGGCAAGATTCCATTCTCATTTAGTAAGATGGAATTAAAAGAAAATATTACTGAATCGAAGCAATTTTAGATTCTGCTTCCTAAAAGGGCTTGTCAAACTGATCTACATAAAGAATTTCAAAATCATATACTGATATTTTAACTGTTTAATTGGTGCTAATTTACAAACAGAAGCTACAGTTCTAGAAGTAGTTCTTAAAGTGTTCAGTTTCCACTAAGAAGGTTTTAATCTAGTAAACTATTTCTTAGAGGTAAGAACTAAAGATCAAATGTGTCAAATTCTGCATTTCCGGCTAACATTTATAGACATTCATATAGAAGAATATTTTCAAACTAGAATTTCAGTTCTTCATCAGACCAGTTTGCCGGGGATCTTGTTCCAGCATCTTAGAAGGGTTCAGCAATCTGGAGAAGGGCTGTGTGTAACTTAATAAAGAGTCCAGAGACGAAACATAATTTTGAAAGACATTTGGGGGTCAGAGGAGCTTAGCTAAAAGGAACTAAGTTCTCCTGTCTCAGGACCCCTTGCTTTTTAGTAACACAATTTGTCCTAAGGCTAGGTGGAGATATACACTTCAAAGGGTAGGGTTAGGTACAGAATCCATTGTCAAATTGGAAGAATCTGCCTACAGCTATTCAGGTGCTTGGCCAGTAGGAGGCAATAACATGTAGATTAAGATGCCCTGAGCTGTCTGGCAGCAAGCAATCAGCCCTTTTCAGGTTTAGGGAAATGCCTTAGCCATTCCAGCAGGCGATAACATATGTGACTCAGCCCTTGTTGAGTCCCCAAGTTCCATCAACCTTTTGATGAAACTCTTGCAATTATGACGTGCAGGAACTGGCTTCCAGCACCAGTTTATTTGTGATAAAGAATTAATCAATTATGACCAAAGCCAAGACTATTTAATATGCATTTTCCTATACATTCTAGACATCAGTGTCACCTCTAGCATTCTGGAGTGTGATTCTATCTTACCTTTTAGATATTTTAGCAATTATTCCAGTGGATGGCCATTGGAAGTGAAAAATTCTTATGTAACACTTTTGCTTAATAACTATTTCACTATACTGTTCAGAATGGGGCATGAAAATGGAGTGTATAATGAGCATTTGGAATTATTTATCAGTTTTTAGTTCCTCCAACCGTGGACAACTGAGCGTTGATTTTATGATCAAAATGTTAAAAGTCAACTTTTTTTAAGGCTATATATTGGGTCATTAAATCATTTATTATAAACTACCCTGAAAGATAGTTAACTATTTGAAAGATGTGATAATCTGTACCTGATTTGTGTACCAGTAGTTTAGTTTAATTTCAAGCCAAATTCTGTGGTTTTTATTAAAATGTTATGTCTATGTTGACAGATGAAAGATGTCTCAAGTTCTGCTTAAATTTTAGGTTTTAAAGATAACACCTGCAACATGACAAAAAATTATTTTTAAACAGTTTATGCTTTATAAGGATTGAATGACTACAAAGTTTTTTTAAAAAATCTTCAAACCATTCCTTTAATGTAGGAAATTTCTATTTATAGCCGATTTCCAACATAAGAAACATTTATTGATTTTTCTTTTTTTCTCCCAGGCAGTGTTTAGGTTGTAATTTCAATAAAACAGAGCAATACAGTGCAGTAAGTCAGAAGAGAAAGTAATAGATGGGAAGAAAGTAGAAACCCTGTGGCGTGATTTCTTTTAGGGGAGACATTTTTCTGATCATAATAAACGGTATTTTTAATCTCAACTTTGGCCATATCCTTTTTAGCATACTTAATTTAATGTTCATGGACAAAATACAATTTTTTCACGGTCCTATTCTTCTATCTTAACAGGCCTCCTTGTATCAATCCTCTATAGACAGAAGCCTGGAAAGACCCAGTAGGTAAGAACGTTATTACATTATGCAACTGGAATATTGTATACCAGTGCTTTCTCTTTCCATTAAGCAGCAATGAGGATTATGAATCATGTTTTTATTTTATGTAACACACTTCATGAAGTTGTTTTGTTTCTGCATCATTTTATATGATCATATTCAAGAATTTATGAAAATCAAGTGAAATATTTCTGGACTCCTTCACAGACTGAGAAATTCTCCTCTTCCCTGTCTCCTCTATAACCATATCTTTAAATGGGGATTATAAACAGCTAATTTTCAATACTGTTATATGATGCATTTAATATAGGGGTGGGAAAAAGTAGATTGACAGTTATAATACAAATAAGTAACACAAGAATAAATAGTAACATAGAATAAACTATTTTGCCTATCCATACCTGAAAACTACTGTTGGCTATCCCTGTATATTTGAAAAATTTTATAAAACACATATGTGTTCATTATACTCTTACCACACAAATGAGAATTATGTTACTACCAATAAATAAGGACTTGTCTTATACTATATACCAAGAATTCTAAGTACATAAGCATATTCAATCCTTAAGACACCACTCTGACTTAAGTACCATTATCCCCATTTTATCTCTGAGTATGCTGACACTTAGGCTCCATAACTTACTAAGTTTACACACTTGACAAGAAGCAGAGACAAAGTAAAATTGACCCAAAATAGCTTGTAACCAACCACTAATCCTGCCTTAAAAGTCTGCTGGGGTAAGTTCTGTTCGTGGGTTTTGTATATCATACTTTAAAATATTACAGAAATTCAGACACAGTTTGACAGCAGTATTGAATAATTCAAACTCCCAGCCATACTTTATCATCAACAACACATCTATGTATATAAAAGCCTAATATGCAAATTGTCCCCTCGAAAGTTCGACCAGGAGACCCAGAGTTTGATTGCTTGCTATGATGTGCACTGACCACCAGGGGGCGGTGTGGAACGAAGGAAGGCCTTGGCCGGCAGCCAGAAGACCCTGATCAGCTCTGATCGCCAGCCAGGCCTAGGGACCCTACACATGCACGAATTTCGTGCACCGGGACTCTAGTATTTTCATAACATTAATTTGCCCTTCACTAGATTTCTCTCAACATAAGTAGAAGACTTTGTAAACTGGGTTCATGAGTGCCATCCAATAACATGAATGTCACTAAGAAAGGAGCTCCCCAGTCCCTCTTTTTGTGTCTTTTTCTATCCACACCTGCACCTAAAATGTTTGAATTTCAGAGTTCTGATCTGGCGTGAGGATTGTTGTAGACACATAGACCCTCACATGACAGACTGATGACAGCAAAACAGGTCTAGGAGAAGATGGGGCACCCTCTTTGGAGGAGTGCAGGCAGATTCTGAGGTCTGCTCCGCCTCTGTGCTTGCAGAGCCAGCGTGCTCCATTTACCCACTGATAAAACGGTGATAACCCTGTGGGCTGGGTAAGACCACCTGTCAGTACAGCAGACAGCACTCGGCTGCCTCCTAGGGGCTGGTGTGCTTTAGCTGCCACTGTTCATGCCATGGTAGCTAACAATGTGGCAGACAGCGGGCTGTGTGACATGTATCTCCACTCACTGTCTTGAGTTACATACTCAGACCGAGAACCATGAGGAAAACGGCCTGCCATTAAGACCACTGACACCATTGAATACGAATGGTGAAAGGACACTTTACTAGTCTACTTGCTGACCAAATCACTAGCCATTGATTACTTAAACAGGAAATATTGGGGTTGCAGTGTAATTTTTTAAGCTAAGATTATTGGGACGAGCCATAGGGAAGCCCTGAGGTAAGAAATTTGTCTCATCAGGTGTCGGCCTCTTTCCCAGTCCTTCCCTGCATCCTGGCCCCCCTCCTCTGGATGATCTGTGTTGTTGGAATGCTTCCTTATAGGGAACAGGTAGACAATACAAAGCATCAGACTGAATTGTCAGTCATAACGTATTACACTAATTGGAGAATTTTTACTTTAAAAGATGATGATAGCCCTGGCTGGTTTTCTCAGTGGTTAGAGTGTCGGTCTGCAGACCGAAGGGTTCCAGGTTTGATTCCTGGTCAAGGAATCGAACATACCTTGGCTGCAAGTTCCCCAGCCCCGGTAGGGGCCCTTGTGGGAGGCAACCAATCAATGTATCTCTCTCACATCGATGTTTCTCTCCCCTCCCACTCTCTCTAGAAATCAGTGGGGGGGAAATATCCTCGGGTGAGGATTTTTACAAAAACTTTTTTAAAAAGATGATTATAAACTCATATCCACACAAAAATATGCTTTGTTTATAATTGCCAAATTTGAAGCAACCAAGAAGCCCCTCAGTAGCTGAATGGGTAAGCAAACTGTGGCACAACCACATAAGGGAATGTTATTCAGCAATAAAAAGAAATGGGCTAGCAGCCAAAAAGAAAAAAAAGACAGGAGAAAATCTTAAAGGCATATTACTAAATGAATGGTGCCAATCTGAAAAGACTACATCCTGGTGGTTCCAACTATATGGCATTCCAGAAAAGACAAAACCCTGTGGCCTGTGAAAAGATCAGTGGTTGCCAGGTGTCCGGGGAGGGAGGGAGGAAGAGGTAGAGCATGGAGATGTCCAAGGAGGGGGGACATGACACTATTCTACAGGATGTGGTAGTAATGGACACATGTCCCACATTGGTCAAACTGATAGAATGCTCAACAAAACACATAAACCCTATATAAACTGTGGACTTTAATTACATTTAATAATAATATTACAATATAGTTCACCAACTGTGACAAATGTACTACACTAATAACGGATGTCAATAATAGGGGAAGCTGTATGCAAGGGTATATGTGGGACTCTTTATACTTTCCAATTACTTTTTCAGACACGTAAAACTGCTCTAAAAATAGTCTATTTTTTAAGTGACAATTATAAAGAAACTAGAGGCCCAATGCATGAAACTTCATGCACTCGGGGGGTGGGGAGGGGGCGAAATTTAGCTATGATGAAATAGGTCAGGTATTCACCAAAAGCTTCTAAGTTAAAATTTATTTTTTGTGTTTTTTTTCTCCAAAACAATTTTTATTTAAAAACTAGAGGCCTGGTGCACAAAAATGTGTGCACTTGGGGGGGTCCCTCAGCCTGGCCTATGCCCTCTTGCAGTGTGGGACCCCTTGGAGGATGTTCACCTGCTAGCTTAGGCCCACTCCCCAGGGAATTGGGCCCAAGTTGGCAGTCAGACATCCCTCTGACAGCCTGGGAGCCCTTAGCACTGCTGCGAAGGCCGGAGAGTCTCCCACCACTGCTCACAGCCATCAGCCCAGCTTGTGTCTGAGCAGAGCTCCCCCTGTGGGAGTGCACTGACCACCAGGGGGCAGCTCCTGCATTGAGCATGTGCCCCCTGGTGGTCAGTGTGTGTCATTGCGACCGGTCATCCCAGTCATTCTGCTATTAGGGTCAATTTGCATATTACCCTTTTATTATATAGGATAGTGTTTAATATCAAGGAATAAATTCCTAAAAATGCCGTTTGGGGGGTGGGGGAGAAGAGTTATAACACTGTTGCTAGCATATCCCATCCGTCTTTCTGGTTCACGTTAATCCCCTCCAACACCAACCACACTGCAGTGATTCCTTCTTGCAGCTCTGCAGGCCTGGCCAGTGACTTCAGGAAAAGGAGGAAGAGCGAGCCAGCCGTGGGGCAGCCGAGGGGCCTGGGAGATCCAAGGGCGAGCAGGACCAGCCCCGGCCGGGCGGACCTCCCAGGATCGAGCGCCACCCTGACCCAGTCTTTCATTAGTTCTTCCCCTTCCTCCCCATCCAGAGCAAAAGGTAAACAGCCATGAATAGAAATGAAAACAAGTTCCTAGTGCATGTTTTAAGCTGGAGTTCCCTGTGAAGCTGGTCCAGGGATAACTATCCAGAGAGAGCATTTAAATGAACTTTTGGAACAATAGCTTTCTTCCTACACAGACTAACTCAGTTTGAGCCACCCAAGTGGCGTAAAGGAGTCTATCATCTGTTAATGCTTTTTTCCTTCCAAATATATCATTTTGGGGTGTTTTTCTGGGGGGGTGGGAACAAATTCAAAGTATCAATTTATTGGCAGGCTATTAAAGGATTACGTTTACAAACATGTGCATATTATCAAATTTTTCTAATGTTCTACAACTAGCAAAATTAATCAAATTTATAGAATAGGAATTAGAAGTAGCAACAGAGAACATTGTTGCCTAAAACAAATCGGGTTTTTTTTAATTATTATTTAATTCTAGATAAAATCTGCCTAACCTGTGAAGTCATTTCTTTAATCGTCTGCTCTATATTTTGGCTAATATGCATATATACAGTAGACTATCCATCAATATAGTGTTCCATCCACGGCGGCACGGTGGTAAGAACTAACTGGTTTTCAGCTATAATTGTAAAACCTAGACACCACCAAGCCCTTTTCCCATACGACCTGTCTCTTCTCCAGAAATTCAGCGAGTTGTGCTGAGAAGGGGCAAGCTGCTCCTTCCAGCCCCTGAAACCCTGTTGTGTGCACTAGTGCCACCGTAACGGGGATATGGCTAAGGCGGAGCCTGGGGGTTGAACCAGCGTCGCTAGGCACCTGGGTCTGTACCAAATCTGGGGCTCCACAGTCTCCCCCAGCCTCCTGGGGTTGAGACAGAACCGAGAAGGAATCTGAAATGTGTGAAGAAAGCCGCCTCTCACAGGAGTTTCCGTGAAATAGCACCGATTCCGCCACGTCTATCACATGCAGGCACTAAAAGTGTGGCCACGTGGTAGTTAAAGGTGAGAGGGAGCTGGTTTGCTTGCAAAAGACAGGCTGGTTTTGATGCCTAGAGTCTGGATAGACAGAAGACACCAGCTCTGCTCTGTATCCTAATCAAACTGTGAGAACTAACCAGCAGGTTCTGGAGGGGAGGGGGGGCCCTTTGATCCTGTCCTCAAATTAGCAAGGTTGCCTTTATCAGAGTCAGCTCATGATGCAAGTGAATATCTTAAGGTAACCCATAGGTCACGAAATGCCCTAGAGTCTTTATGCTTGGATACCATCCGGAAACTGAAAGAATTGATTGACTTAGCTACTTGTTTTCCTCCTGGGGAGTGTAAAGCCAACCTCCTTTCCCAAATACCACCTGTCTGCTTTTTATGTGCTTATTCACTTTCCAAGAATTTGGGGAGATTGCAAGGCAGGAGCTCAACAGAGTTCTTTTCTTCCACTAGGTTTATTTCTAAGAAGAAAAGGCCTCCTCAGACGGACTTGGCCTCTCACTTATTAGTTAATTCAGCCAGGCACAAGAAAAGAGTTTTCCCATACCTGTTCCAAACGGAGGCCGTGCTGAGCTCTCTGTTCTCAAATGGTACATGAGGTTTTAAAAAGACCCTCCCTGGGGAAAAGCAGGACGCCTTTTACCTCTGGGGAGAGCTTTACAGTATATATATCCAACCATGCTCATGACAAATTGCCTAACCAAAAGGTTCCAGGTAGAACTAGTAAAGACGTAAGGTAATTTTGTTTAAAGACGCACTAGTTATTATTTTCTTCTCGGGAAAAGGTTAGCAGCCATAGTTCACAGCATCTTGAGGCTGCCATTTCGGAAAATACTTTGTCTTACAGCTTTTTCCATCTAGTGCCCGTGGAAAATTAACTAATACAGTTGTGGGAGTTTTAATTAAATGTAAATTTATAACTCACGCTTTACCTTTCTATTAGTATACATCCAATGAGACTCAAATCCTGACCCTCTTAACTTGATTATCCATATCATTTGGGGCATTAATTATTAAACCTTTACATTGCTACCAGGACACGCTGTTAGCATATAAGGTACTATATTATATTTGAGGCAAATAACATTTGCAGAAAGATGTACGAAGTATTCAATAGAAGCAGAAATAGGCCTTATTAGCTATTGGTCGTATTAGCTACACCAATGACGTTTTAAGCATGGTTTTGTCAACTCTAATATCTATCTTTAAAGCTACGTTCACTGCAAACGCAGTATCGTGCCTTAGAATTAGACTGTTTTCTCTGGAAGTGAAGCTTCCAGGGTAACAATGTGTCTATTTTAACCCGCTGCCTTCTCTTGCTGCCTGTCTGTCTGATGCTAACTGACATGCTCTCCTCTCTGTGAAACTTTTAACCTCTTCACACGTCTCTCTCCCACCACGCTGCTCCGGATTAAAAGGTGGGGATGATAGCAAAATGTGTGCACCCCTTTGCAGTTGCTCAGGGCCCCGCAGCCGCCCCTGCCAGGAGGTCGATGACTGTCCCCCTTACAGACAGCACCTGGACGTCCCGCGCGACTCGCAGCGGGCCCTCGCCTTCAAAAACGGCTGGCAGATGGCCCGGCAGAACGCCGAGGTCTGGAGCAGCACCGAGGAGGCTGTGTCCCCCAAAATCAAGTCCCGCAGCTGCGACGACCTCCTGAACGACGACTGCGGCGGCTTCCCCGACCCCAAAGCCAAGTCGGAGAGCATGGGCTCTCTGCTCTGCGAAGAGGACGCCCCGGAGGGCTGCCCGGTGGCGGTGCCGTGGGCATCCTCCTTCCTCCCGGAGACCAGGGCCACCGGCAGGTCCCGGCTGCGCCACGGCTCGGCCCACAACGCCCCAGGCTT